GGAGTTCAAGACCAGCCTGGCCAACACGGTGAGTTCCCATCTCTATAAAAATAAAAAAATTAGCTGGGCTTGGTGGCACTTGCCTGTAATCACAGCTATTTGGGAGGCTGAGGCGGCAGAATCACTTGAACTCAGGAGGCAGAGGCTGCAGTGAGCTGAGATCGTGCCACTGCACTCCAGCCTGGATGACAAAGTGAGATTCTGTCTCAAAAAAGAAAAGAAAAGACAGTATTACAGGCTGGGTGTGGTGGCTCACGTCTGTAATCCCAGCAGTCTGGGAGGCTGAGGTGCGCGAATCACCTCAGGTCAGGTGTTTAAGACCAGCCTGACCAACAGGCGAAACTCTGTTTCTACTAAAAATACAAAAATTAGCTGGGCATGGTGGTGGGTGCCTGTAACCCCAGCTACTCAGGAGGCTAAGGTAGGAGAATCCCTTGATTCCAGAAGGTGGAGGTTGCAGTGAGCTAAGATGGCATCGCTGCAGTCCAGCTTGGGTGACAGAGTGAGACTCTGTGTCAAAAAAAAGTATGGAAAAAGGAGAGAGAGAGAGAGAGAGAGAGAGAGAGAGAGAGAGAGAGAGAGAGAGAGAGCGAGAGAGCGAGAGAGGAAAGAAAGGAAGGAAAGGAAAGAAAGAAAGAGATAAAACCAGACAGGGGAAGGGGATTGCTGGCAAGATGGCTAAATAGGTATAGCTACTATCTGCTGCTTCCAGCAAGATCGACACAGAAGGCAGGTGATTTTTGCATTTTCAACTGAGGTGCTAGGTTCATCTCATTGGGACTGGCTGCACAGTGGGTGCAGCCCAAGGATGGTGAGCTGAAGCACATTGGGGCATTGCCTCACCTGGGAAGTGCAAGGGGTTGGGCAATTCCTTCTCCTAGCAAAGGGAAACCATTAGGGATGGTATCATGCACTCTGGCCCAGATACTGTGCTTTTCCCAAGGTCTTCGCAACCCACAGACCAGGAGATTCCTTCCAGTATCTATGCCGCCAGGGCCCTGAGTTTCCGGCACAAAACTGGGCAGCTGTTTGGGTAGACACTGAGCTAGGTGCAGAATTTCTTTCTTCATACCCTAGTGGTACCTGGAATGCCAGTGAAACAGAACCATTCACTCCCCTGGAAAGAGGGCTGAAGCCAGGGAGCCAAGTAGTCTGGCTCGGCAGGTCCCACCCCTACAGAGCTCAGCAAGCTAAGATCCACTGGCTTGAGATTCTTGCTGCCAGCACAGCAGTTTGAGCTCCACCTGGGAAGCTTGAGGTTGGTGGGGGGAGGGGCATCTGCCATTGCTGAGGCTTGGGTAGGTGGTTTTACCCTCACAGAGTAAACAAAGCCATTGGGAAGTCCAAACTGGGCAGAGCCCACTGTTGCTCAGCAAGGCCTCTGCGGCCAGACCACCTCTCTAGATTTCCTCCTCTCTGGGCAGGGCATCTCTGAAAAAAAGGCAGCAGCCCCAGTCAGGGACTTATAGATAAAACCCCCGTCTCCATGGGACAGAGCACCTGGGGAAAGGGATAGTTGTAGGCGCGGCTTCTGCAGACTTTGATATCCCTGCCTGGCAGCTCTGAAGAGAGCAGTGGACCTCCCAGCACAGTGTTTGCACTCTGCTAAGGGACAGACTGCCTCCTTAAGTGGGTCTCTGACCGCTGTGTAGCCTGACTAAGAGACACCTCCCAATAAGAGCCGACAGACACCTCATACAGGAGAGCCCTGGTGGCATCTGGTGGGTGCCCCTCTGGGACAAAGCTGCCAGAGGAAGGAACAGGCAGCAATCTTTGCTGTTCTGCAGCATCTGCCAGTGACACCCAGGCAAAAAGGATCTGGAGTGAACATCTAGCAAACTCCAGCAGACCTGCAGCAGAAAGGCCTGACTGTTAGAAGGAAAACTAACAAACAGAAAGGAACAGTATCAACATCAATAAAAAGGATGTCCACTCAGAGACCCCCTCCAAAGGTGACTGACTTCAAAGACCAAAGGTAGATAAATCCATGAAGATGGGGAGAAACCAATGCAAAAAGGCTTAAAGTTCCAAAACCAGAACACCTCTTTTCCTCCAAAGGATCACAATTCCTTGCCAGCAAGGGCACAAAACTGGTTGGAGAATGAGTTTGATGAATTGACAGAAGCAGGCTTCAGAAAGTGAGTAATAACAAACTCCTCAGAACTAAATGAACATGTTCTACCCCAATGCAAGGAAGCTAAGAACCTTGAAAAAAGATTAGATGGATTGCTAACTAGAATAACCAGTTTAAAGAAAATAAATAACCTGATGGAGCTGAAAAACACGGCATGACAACTTTGTGAAGCATACATAAGTATCAATAGCAGAATTGATCAAACAGAAAAGGGATATCACAGATTGAAGATCAAGTCAATGAAATAAAGTGAGAAGACAAGATTAGAGAAAAAAATTATAAAGAAATGAACAAAGTCTCCAAGAAATTTGGGACTATATGAAAAGACCAAATCTATGTTTGATTGGTGTACCTGAAAGTGATGAGGGGAATGGAACCAAGTTGGAAAACAGTCTTCAGAATATTATCCAGAACTTCCCCAACTTAGCAAGTCAGGCCAACATTCAAATACAGGAAATACAGAGACCACCACCAAGATACTCCTCGAGTAGAGCAACCACAGGACACATAATCGTCAGATTCACCAAGGTTGAAATGAAGAAAAAATGTTAAGGGAGGCCAGAGAGAAAGATCAGGTTAGCCACAAAGGGAAGCCCATCAGACTAACAGCAGATTTCTCAGCAGAAACCCTACAAGCCAGAAGAGAGCGGGCCCAATATTCAACATCCTTAAAGAAAAGAATTTTCAACCCAGAATTTCATATCCAGCCAAACTAAGCTTTATAAGGAAAGGAGAAATAAAATCCTTTACAGACAAGCAAATGCTGAGAGATTTTGTCACCAACAGACCTGCCTTACAAGAGCTCCTGAAGAAAGCACTAAACATAAAAAGTAACAACCAGTACCAGTCACTGCAAAAACATACCAAATTGTAAAGACCACTGTCGCTATGAAGAAACTCTATCAACTAATGGACAAAACAGCCATCTAGCATCACAGTGGCAGGATCAAATTCACACATAACTATTTTAACCTTAAATATAAATGGGCTGAGTGCTCCAATTAAAAGACACGGACTGGCAAACTGGATAGAGTCAAGACCCATCAGTGTGCTGTATTCAGGAAACCTATCTCATGTGCAAAGACACACACAGGGTTAAAATAAAGGGATGGAGGAATATTTATCAAACAAATAGAAAACAAAAAAAAAGTAGGGGTTGCAATCCTAGTCTCAAATAAAACAGACTTTAAACCAACAAAGATCAAGAGAGATAAAGGACATTACATAATGGTAAAGGAATCAATGCAACAAGAAAAGCAACTATCCTAAATACATATGCACCCAATACAGGAGGCCCCAGATTCATAAAGCAAGTTCTTAGAGACCTACAAAGAGACTTAGACTCCCACACAATAATAGTGGGAGACTAACATCTCATTATCAATATCAGATCAACAAGACAGAAAATTAAGAAGGATATCCAAGACTTGAACTCAGCTCTGGACCAAGAGGACCTAATAGATATCTATAGAACTCTCTACCCCAAATCAACAGAATATACATTCAGCACTACATAGCACTTATTCTAAAACTGTCCATATAACTGGAAGTAAAACACTCCTCAGCAAATGCAAAAGAATGGGAATCATAACAAACAGTCTCTCAGCCCACAGTGCAATTCAAATTAGAATTCAGGATTGAGAAACTCACTCAAAACCACACAACTACATGGAAACTGAACAACATGCTCTTGAACAATACTGTGTAAATAATGAAATGAAGGCAGAAATAAAGATGTTCTTGGAAACAACGAAAACAAAGACACAATGTACCAGAATCTCTGGGACACATTTAAAGTAGTCTGTAGAGGAAAATTTATAGCACTAAACGCCCACAAAAGCAAGCAGGAAAGACCAAAAATCAACACCCTAACAACATCACAATTAAAAGAACTAGAGAAGCAAGAGTAAACAAATTCAAAAGGTAGCAAAAGACAAGAAATAACTAAGATGAGAGGAGAACTAAAGAAGAGAGAGACAAGAAAAACTATTCAGAAAAAAAATCAGGAGCTGCTTATTCGAAAAGATCAACGAAATAGACCACTAGCCACACTAATAAAGAAGAAAATAGAGAAGAATCGAATAGATGGAATAAAAAATGATAAAGGGGATATCACCACTGATCCCACAAAAATAACTACCATCAGAGAATACTATAAATACCTCTATGCAAATAAACTAGAAAATCTAGAAGAAATGGATAAATTCCTGGACACATACACCCTCCCAAGACTAAACCAGGAAGAAGTCAAATCCCTTATTAGACCAGTAACAACTGGGATAGCATTAGGAGAAATATCAAATGTAGATGACAGGTTGATGGGTGCAGCAAACCACCATGGCATTTGTATACCTATGTAACAAACCTGCATTTTCGGCACATGTAACCTAGAACTTAAAGTATAATAATAACTTAAAAAAACAGATAAGGGAAGGAGAGCTAAAACAAGACTGGAAAATGCTGATAATTTTCAAAGCTGGGTGATGGATATTTCTGCCTATGTGAAATTGATTTGGTACTACTAAAGGAAATTCTATGCATAACATACCACATTATGCAATTACATATTTAATGCAATATGTAGTTCCATTTATAAATCTTGCATCTATAATTTACAGAGATTAAAGGAAAAATAATTATCTGGAAAGAAGGAAAGACAGAATTTTAGTTAATGATTCAGAAGTCTTACTTTTGTAACAGGCAACTGAATTAATTAGAGAAATTAACAAAATCATCCAGCCTAACATATAGAAATAAATTTTTCCTACCAAAAGAACTAAAAAGGTTCTTTTAAGTCATCCAGTAAAAAAACAAAAACAAAAAACCTATTAAATTTTATGTTATCAGGAGTCAAAAGAACACTCACGTTTTGAAGGAGTTGCTCAAACCAGTCATATCCAGTATCTCTGCATGCTGCAACCTAAGGGGTGGTGAAAAGTATCAAAGTTAGAAATATATTTAAAAATCTGAGTAAAACATACTTTTGTTATGCTTTAGCCTGAAACATGTTTCAATTTTCTCAATTCAAAAGTTTGTTTTTAAAGTAAACTATTTTTTCAGTAACCCAACCATTTACCAATGTTATAGAATTTAATTCTAAAATTATCTTGAAAAACATTGAAGAAATTAGCTTAATGTATTGAAGTTTAATATGGCACTAAATGTTTAAAATGGCACAAGTTTAAAATGGCACAATAACTTGAACTACACTCTGTGAGGAAAATCTGTAAGATGTAAAATATTAAAAACAAAAACATAATAAATAAATAAATAAACACAAAAACATTTGTTTCTTATTACCCTGCTAGATGGTACATTTTAAAGACATCAACAGAAATGTAGAATATCATGTAATTGAATATACAGAATTCCTTTTCTTTCTTTTTTTTTTTTTTGAGAGGGGATCTTGCTATATTGCTCAGGCTGGAGTGCAGGGCCTATTCATAGGCATGATCACAGTATACTGCAGGCTTGAACTCCTGGTTCAAGGACCACTTGATACCCCTATCTTAGACTCCTGAGCAGCTGGGATTACAGGCATATGCCACTGTGACTGGCAAAAATTTCTTATATTAAAAACATAAAATGTATACTTTATGCATAATTAAAAATATATAACTAATCCATATTCATGATTTCTGAAAAAGGGGGGCACTACTATCTTTGCAGATTATTAACCTTGGGGGATTATATCTGTTCTTCTATTTCTCCTTTCCCTCCCTTTTTAAAATTGCTACAGGAATAGGAATATCTCAGTATCAGTGTTTACATCAATTAATGCCAAGAAGTAGGGCTATATGGAAACATGTTACTTGCATCCCTTGAACATCTCCAGAAATATAAAGATGGCAGTACTAAATGTCAAGATTAATGAAATATCTCATTATTGTCTTTTCCTTCATAAGACACGTAAGCCTCAATTAGGTCTGCACCAATAGTGATCACACCCTTGTTCCAGTCCTTCTTACCACATCGGTAATGTTTAAAATTTTCCTTGTCATTGCTTCTTTGTCATTGTGTGGAGTTGGAGTAAACCAGAGTTTCTGGAACGTTTCATTTACTAATTTCTAGAAGAAAGAGGAATTTAAAATTAATTATAACAAACATGGCAAATTCACAATTCCAAATTCTCATTAGGCCCAAAACAAAGCTATAAATAACTAATCAAAACATGAATTGTCAGGAATTTCTTGTATGAATTTCCTCAGTTTTTCTTTTTTTAAATATCTATTCCTCAAAACTATAAATTTTTTAATTTGGCAAAAATTTTAAACAATATGAATGGGTGATACTATCCCTAGCCTAGAACTTCTTCATACTATACACTCAAATGTTTATGATCAAACTAAAAAATGTTTACTGCTTTTGGAGAAGAAGTTGTTACAGTGTTTGTTAAACTTAAAAAAAAAGGGACAATTATATATAATTATATATATAAATTTACTAATGAATTTAGGACTAAACTTAAAATTTTTTTTTAGAGATACATAATAGCTGTACACATTTATGAAGTGTATTCGAAATTTTGATACAAGCATACAATGTATAATGATCAAATCAGGGTAACCGAAGTATCCATCACCTCAAGCATTTATCATTTCTTTGTGTTAGGAACATTCCATTTCCACTCTTCTAGTTATTTGGAGATGTACAATAAATTATTGTTAACTATAGTCACCCTATTGTGCTTCTGAACATTAAATTTTATTCCTTCTAGGTGTATTTTTCATAACCATGAACCAGCTCCTCTTTATTTAACCCCTCACAAACTTCCCTGACTCTGCTAACAATCAGTCTATTCTCTACCTCTATGAGATCAATTTTTTTTTCCATGTATAAGTGAAAATATGTGCTATTTGTCTTTCTGTGCCTGGCTTATGTCACTTAACATAATGAAATAAAGTATTTAATAATTTAAAAAGGTAAACATGTAACATTTGAAAATCAAAATAATCCTATGAGAGACCTTTGAATATAATGCAATCTCTATAATAACGATCAATCAATCAAAACACACATGCACATTTTTTGAGATGGAGTCTTACTCTGTTGCCCAGGCAGGAGTGCAGTGGCCAGATTATAGCTTACTGCAGCCTTGAATTCCTGGGCTCAAGTAATCTTCCTGTGTCAGTCTCTAGAGGAACTACAGGCATGCTCTACTACGTTTGGCTAAATTTTAAAAAATTATTTTCATCATTTTTTAATAGAAATAGGATTCTTGCTATGTTGCCCAGGCTGGTCTCCAACTCCGGGCCTCAAGCTCTTCTCCTGCCTTGGCCTCCCAAAGTACTGGGATTATAAGCATGCACTACTAAGGCCAGTCTTAAATAAAATACTGTGGAATTGGTTAAGATCAGATTGTAATAATTAATATAAAATCTAGAAACAAAAAAGTATCAACGAATGTATTTTTAAGTTTATAAATTAAAAATAATGATTCACTATAAAGTTTTTGTATATATTTAAAATCGACATTTAGATGCAATAAACATTTAACTTATTTTAAACATTAATGAGAATAAATTTAAAGTAGTCAACACTACCTTAATGCCCTCTTCATCATTGACTCTGCGAATCATTTTTACACACATTTCTGTGATTTTTGGAAATGTTGGCTGTTCAATACAAATGTCTCTTAGAATCTTTATTACTCTTTTCCTGACACTGATGCCAGTATCCTAAAAACAGAAAGGTATTTTTAAATGTCAGAAAAATTGAGATGCCTTATGTGTGAAATTAGAAAGTATCCATATGCAGTATATTCACTATTTGTTAACATAATAAACACAGTTGACATATTTGCTTACATGCTTTCTTACTGCTACTATAAATGTATTATTTTATTCTATTGCCTTTACTTTTAAAGTATGATATCTAGGACATAAAAACATATTTTATAGTTAAGCCCTGGACACAAGACTAGAAGTATATGCTTGTCAAAATTAAATGAGATAATAAACATCAGCTTTAGAACAGTATCTGGCACTTAAACAGCACATGAAGTATCACTTAAAAAGTCAACTTCATAAAAATGTTTAATCTGAATCTCATCAAACCTTTGGTACTACCTTAGGGTTACTTTTTTTGTTGTTGTTGAGAAGGAGTTTCGCTTTTGTTGCCTAGGCTGGACTACAATGGTGTGATCTCAGCTCACTGCAACCTCCTGCCTGCCAGGCTCAAGCGATTCTCCTGCCTCAGCCGCCCGAGTAGCTGGGATTATAGGTGCATACCACCATGCCCGGCTAATTTTTGTAGTTTTGGTAGAAACAGGGTTTCACCATGATGGTCAGGCTGGTCTCCTGACCTTGGGTGATCCACACGCCTTGACTTCCCAAAGTGCTGGGATTACAGGTGTGAGGCACTGTGCCTGGCTTACCTTATGGTTTATGAAAGATACAATAACACAAGTTAAATTAATCAAAGCCCTGAGTAGATAACAAAACAAATCAGGCCTTTTTAAGCAGTCAATGTTATATGGGATGTAAAAAAAAAAAAAGAGTAAGAAAATAGTCTTCAATTTTAAGACATGACTCTCAAATACAATGTATTACCTTTGAATTCTGATTCTTAAAAAAGAAGAATAAAAAAACATTTTTAGGACAACAGAGGATCTAAGAACTAGTATTCAGATGGTATTATGGAGTGTTAATTTGGGTGAGATAATGGTTTTGTTTGTATAGCACAGTATCAATTTTTGGTGACACAAACTGAAGTGTTCACAAGAAAAGTAGTAAAAAATGTTTGACTTAAAACAATTTAGCAGAAAGTACAGATGATGTATGGACATAGGTACAATGGTGTTCACTGTAATTTTTTTTTTAACAAACTTTGATATTAAAGAGTTTTAAAAATAAAAAGTACCAGACATGTAGTTTAATCTCCATTATGTGATTTAGCAATCCCAAAGATACTTTAGGATATTTTTCTAGGGTTACCAATATCAGAGTTCATTAGATATTTGGGAATCCTGCTGATTTTACCCTGCAAAAGATTGAAGGCCTAAGAAGAAAAAACTTTCCTCCAGACTTTCTTTAAATTATTTGTTTTTCAACCAAGATTTATGCCTAGTTGAAGCTAAAAATTACTCTATACTCTGTTACACAATGTTCTGATACCAGGCCAAGGGTGACAAAATAAACTCATCATTGAGGTAATACTTAATTTTGTGCATCTATGTTGAGTTCTACAATAAGTCAATATGGCTGCAATGGGTAGTGTGGAGACTCCACAGATATTTCCTAATGCTAAATGTTTCCTTTTGTTTTTCAGAAAAATGCTTCAGGTCCAGAGAATTCCAAGACATTACAAGGAGTGTATCTTAGAACAGTAATTCTTAAGTTTGCTCTTAAACCTCAAATAACTTCTGGGCTTAACTTGTAGGTATCTGAGCTCATCAATACTCAGGTTTAAGGAAACAAGAAGATACACATAAAGGATCCAAAAATATTGTCAGATACCAACGTTCTGTACTTGTCTCTCACTGAAATAATTCTTCTTGTTTATATACACACATACATAAAATCACTCTAGTTTCTTGTTCAAAAACATTTAACTAACCCATGTGGTTCCTATCATCTCATTGTAAACTGGTATACTTAAAAAGTAATAGCAACTGAAAAAAGGAATCCAGTTTGTTTTATGATACTGCGAGGGCTATTCTTGAAAATATGTACTTGTTTAGGAAGTGGCAACAGTTCACAGATTAGAAAATATAAATATATATTTGGTACATTTATGTTTCTAGCTTAACACTTTAAAACCAAACATGATGCTTAAAAGGCAAAATTATATTCATGAGTTATTATAAAAATGACAAACAAACATACCAATATTCTTTCAATCAGCATATCATAATACTGTTCAGCAAGCTGAGGGCGACAAAGGACAAATCGACCTAGTAATTCCACTGCTGCTTCTCGGACGCTAGTCGAGTTATCCATCAATCGTCCATGAACACCTCGTTGCATATCAAGCTAAAGAAAATGAAGAGGGAGAAAAAGGCAATTTATACCTAAATAGAGTAAAACTCCAATTTGAAAATAAAAGAACTAATCATTTTTGCTCTTTACCCTTGCTAGAATACTGGGGTCTACAGCAACAACCTCAGATAAACACTTCATGGCTTTTGTTCGAACAGCAATTGCATTTTCACCAAGAACTCGTAGGATCTGCCAAGCAAACATTGACATTTTCATAAATTTTAGAACACATAAAATTTAATTAAAAATAGCATGAAAACATGCAAAACACCCACAAATATATTATTTACCTCTCTTTAATCTGTATACAAATGAGTAAAGGATCTTTCTTACTGATTCAAAGTTTGACTTAAAGATCATACAGGTGTTAAGTGTACAGTCCATACTTTGGAGCCTTTCCTTTATCCTAGCATTCTCAATTAAACCTGTTTTTTATTGCTGTGCTTCATTTGCAGAACTTGTTGCCCCACTAAAACCTTGCTATGTGTAATATTAATCAAGGATATTCAGTATCATTTAAATAATAATTTGGTACTTGAATGTTTTTATAATGTCACTTACTCTACTGATACCATATGTGTGTGCATTCATACAAATATATATGTATAAATTTATTTGTAAAACAAGAATATGTAAAAGGCATGTAGAACAAGGACTTTTTTTTTTTTGAGATGGAGTTTCGCTCTTGTTGCCCAGGCTGCAATGGCGTGATCTTGGCTCACTGCAATCTCTGCCTCCTGGGTTCAAGTGATTCTCCTGCCTCAGCCTCCCGAGTAGCTGGGATAACAGGCGCATACCACCACACCCTGCTAATTTTTGCATTTTTCTTTTTCTTTTTTTTTTTTTTGAGATGGAGTTTCGCTTTTGCTGCCCAGGCTGGAGTGTAATGGCGCTATCTTGGCTCACTGCAACCTCTGCCTCCCAGGTTCAAGTGAATCTCCTGCCTTAGTCTCCTGAGTGGTTGGGATCACAGGTATGCACCACAATACCCAGCTAATTTTGTATTTTTAGTAGAGATGGGGTTTGTCCATGTTGGTCACGCTGGTCTCGAACTCCTAACATCTGGTGATCCACCAGCCTGGACCTCCCAAGGTGTTGGGATTATAGGCGCGAGCCACTGTGTCTGGCTGGACATTTTAATACAGGACACAAAAACAAATACTGTCTCTATGATCTTTTAAGTACCTGTACTCAACAATGAATAGGTATTATGCACTACTCACAAGCTTCCAGAATCAGAAAAATCAACACCACTGTATAAGGAATTCTTATCTGGTTTACCTGTGTCAAATAAATATCAAAGCTCTGGGCAAACGGCCTCATGGAGGCCAAGTATCGAACAATCAAGCAAGCATCATCATAGTCCACAGTATCAGAGTTCATCCTGCAACAAAAAGTCATTAAAAATTTATTTTTCTTTTTTGTAACTTAAGTAAATAGGTATCAATGATATAATGTAAAATGTTTTCTCTTTGGATCTTACTTTAATGTGCTAAACTGAGAAGGTGTGGTTTTGATAATGCTTCTAAGAAACTTTTTACGGTTTTCAGCTCGATGCATAATTTGGCCAGTTGTCTCAATTTCCTTTGCATGATGTGTTCCTTCAGATGATTCTTCATCTTTTTGTGATTTCATTGCTTTTTCTGTTTCCAGAGTCGTGTCTCGAAACCACTGGGCTATGTAGAATTTACGAGAAAACTGGAGAGAAATTAGATAGACTTGAGCTTGATGAAATTTGCAATAAGATTCTCAAGTTAAGTAACAGAATGCTCACAATTAGGAATACAAATATTAAGGTCTACTTTCAAACAACTTCCATGTGATAAAAATAGATTTTAAGAAAGCCAGAAAATTTAAAATATCCCAAATGTCAGAAAACTTATTATTTTACTATGTTCCAATACTTATATTAATGATGTCAAGATAAGCTGATAAACACAATTGTATTAAATATAGAATGCTACTATCAACTACTTAATTAAGAACAATATCATGACAAAATTAGACAAATGATGGGTAAACTAGGAAAGTTCAGAACAAATGGATACAACACCGAAGGTAGAAGATTTCACCTGTTTTCAAATTTTGCCTTAGTTTTCCAAGAAACACACAAGACAATTGTTATTGAAATAGTTTAACACTGAGGCACACCTGTAAATCTGTTCCTTTGAATACAAACTAAAAACCTGCAGTAATTGGCTGAAGAGCTTAGTGGTATCACATTTCTTTCAATTGCATACCCATCAGTTAAAAAAATAAAATACCTCTATGTATAATGTTCTCAAATAATAGTTTATAAATTTTGTACATGAACCTCTTGCATTTTATGTAACATACATAAAATAGCAGTAAAATTATATTAAAATATACATATAAAAATCTAATAATTTCTTTTTACAGGCTTATTACAGATCATCTCACGTACCACTTGGCCCATACTCACTCTGAGGACCTAGCCTAGTCTCAAAGATCCCTTATGGAAAGACTTCCAAATATTGCTCTTATCATACAATTTTAGTACAGCGCAGTATCTGTAACCAGAATTCTATATAAGACAAATCAACCCAAAGCATTTTTTTCTCTTTAGATTATCAAGTATCCCTTTGTTTCAAAAATCAATATTCCAAACAACTTTTCCTCTTCATCATGCTACCTCCCAATTTTCTTAAACCCAATTTAAATAAACATGTAATATCTCCAAAAAAGGGGAAAAGAATCCTACCACTAGTGAAGGGTCAGTCTCAGTATTTTCATCCAAGTAATCAAGCAATGCTTTTTGTAATTGTTGGATTTCATCTTCCCCTCCTGAAACCTACAGAATAAACCAAGTAAGAACAAAAAAGATATTACTGGTATACTTTAATAAATCATCTAATTTTAAACACAAATCTGAGAAAAGACTGATTCTAAAAATAAAAACACAACCACAGTAACTAAAAGGAAAAAACAGAGAAATATTTCTGAAAAATATTATATAATGATAGGTGAAGTCTGCACTATCTTGGCTCACTGCAACCTCTGCCTCCTGGGTTAAAGCAATTCTGCTGCCTCAGCCTCCCTAGCAGCTGGGACCCCAGGCGTGCTCCACCACGCTCGGCTAATTTTTGTATTTTTAGTAGAGACAGGGTTTCACCATGTTGGTCAGGCTGGTCTCAAACCCCTGACCTCAAATGATCCACCCTCCTTGGCCTCACAAAGTGCTGAGATTATAGGCGTAAGCCACTGTGCCCGGCCTGCCTTCATGTCTTTTTTTTTTTTTAAAGAGCTCATAGGTAGCTGACATAAAAATGATCAGAACAATGTGTTATTCCTCAGAGGTAGGAAGCACTTGCTTTTGGAAATACGTGTTGAGAGCCATAAAAATTGACAAATGATTCTTCCCCTTGTGGATAATCAACATAGCCATACATGGCAATAAGAGGTTCCAGACCCATTCTAAGAAATACAAAAAGTCATTCAGCAACTGGATCTTGGTTTCTACATTACAATTCACCAATAAAAGGAACCAAGATTCCTAGGAGAAACAGCTGATCCCAGGGCTGGGGTAGGGAAGGTAAAAGATCTGTCTGAAACATCTTTTTGTGCTAGAAAGAAACTCAAATTATGATGGGAACATAGCAAAGGGACTTAAAAGCCAGCTTCAGAGGGTTCTCACTGATCAAATCTAGGATGATTTGAGCATTAAAATAATGACAGCAACAAATTATAATTTATTAGAGTAGGTATTATATTACGTTAACATAATACTGATAATTTTTTGCTTTTGATAATTGTACTATAGATATTTCAGTGAGAGCTCTTGTTTGCAGAAATAAACACTAAGCAGTGGCTCTCCAAGTTCAGCATTCATTCATTAGAATCACCTCGAGGGCTTCTTAAACGAAGAATTTTTGATTCAGTAGGTCCAGGGAGGGTCGTAACAATTTGTATTTTTGTTAGAAATGTACTTGTTAGTTCCAAAATGATTTCAGTGTTGGTGCTACATGTCAAGGGGATCACACTTTGAAAATCACTACATTAGAGAATTCAGGAGTAATGAGGGAATCACGTCTGCAACTTAACTTCAAGTGGTTTAAAAAAATAAAAAAAAATGCATATACAGACACACATACATCTACATTTTGAAAGATGATAAAGCAAATTTTACAAATTATCAATAATTAAGAAATTTGCAAGAAGCATTTATGGGAGTTCTTTGTACTGTTCTTACAACTTTTCTCTAAGGTTGAAATTATTTCAAAACACGTAGTAAAAAAAAATTAGAGGCATTTCTACCAACATGGATATGATTATGAACATAAAAAAAGACTAGAAAAAAAATGAAAACAGTAGTTGTAGATAGTAGGATTAGAAATCATTTCCGCACCAATTTTCTCAAGGAATTTATTACTAACCACTTCGTCCACATTAAAAAAAAAAAGAAGAAGCAATAAAACACTTTTTCCTCCACGATGAAAACTCTCTAATAAAGTATAAAGAAGCTCTCCTTGGCTGGGTGCATTGGCTCACACCTGTGATCTCAGCATTTTGGGAGGCTGAGCGGGGCAGATTATGAGGTCAGGAGATCGAGACCATCCTGGCCAACATCGTGAAAACCCAACTCTACTAAAAACACAAAAATTAGCTGGGCGTGGTGGCACATGCCTGTAGACCCAGCTAATCAGGAGGCTGAGGCAGAAGAATCAGTTGAACCCAGGAGGTGGAGTTGCAGAGAGCCAAAATCCTGTCACTGCACTCCAGCCTAGTGACAGAGTGAGACTCTGTCTTTAAAAGCATCAACAACAAAAAAATTTGAATAAACTTTATGTAAACCCAAACATAAAAAGCATTATACATTTTTTTTTTTGTTCTGAGACAGAGTCTTGCTCTGTCACCAGGCTGGAGTGCAGTGTTGCGATCTTGGCTCACTGCAACCTCCACCTCCCGGGTTCAAGCGATTCTCTTGCCTTAGCTTGAGTACAAGCACGCACCACCATGTAGCTGTGGCTACAGGCACTCACCACCATGCCCAGTTAATTTTTGTATGTTTGGTAGAGACGGAGTTTTACCATGTTGGTCAGGATGGTTTTGATATCTTGACCTCGTGATCCACCCATCTTGGCCTCTCAAAGTGCTAGAATTATAGGCATGAGCTACTGTACCTGGCCTGCATTATACATTTAACAGTACTTCACAAAAAGAAACTAACTGAAGATTTATATGAACCAGTCCCTGTTAGACTAAATAATTCATTCTCCGGTCTTAAAATTTCTCACTGGAGCTTTGAAAAGCCCACTTTTGGAAGTAAAAATTTTATTATGAATCTACAAAATGAAATGTGAAACTAATGTGAGGACATCCAAAGAATATAACTATTATTTACTCCCATAATTTTAATCCTTTATCTTAGTACCTGTTTTAAAATGCGTTCTATAGATCCTTGATCCATTTTGCTTGTAACAGCATCTTTCCTCAGCCGGGCAGCAACAGTTCCAAGGTAATCAAGAGATGCCACTCTTAAAGCCATCTCTGTTGACTTGTTACTGAACTGATGAACCTAAATATCAAAATAGTTTTTGATTTATAATATATCTTAAATAGCAATTTATCATATAAATTTCCAATCTAAATTGTACATTTAAAATTTAAACTTTTTTTTCCTGTGATTCTGTCCCATAAAGTAATTTTTGCCTTCTAATTCTCTGTAATCTGAATATTTTCATGTGACTAAAGAAATTACAGATTAAATTTCCTTAAGAACAACATAACTTTTTAAATACGCAGGCTCAACTGTGTATTTGCACAAAATGTAGCATTACTGAATAAGAATTTCTTAGGGTGTAATTCTGATGCCTGTAAAACTTTATCATACTTTCAGAATAGTATTAACATATTTTCCAGTTCCCAAAAAGGTCCCAGAAGTTTTGTAACAGTGTGTATTGTGCAAGTTGAAATGTAGTTTAAAAATAAAGAGAAGTCACAATATTTCTTTGCATTTACCTACTGCATTACATGAGGACTACAAAGTGCCATATATTTGTAGAAATACTCTTATGATAAGGAGTCTACATTAATCATTTTCATGCTTTGAAATGAGTAACTTATGACTCATTGTTGAAATACTTTTAACATTATAACATTTCCAAAAAAATTATTATCTTATGTAATGAAATGAAAGGACCAAACTTCACAACATTTGAAAATTTTCTACAAGGCACTGACAGTATAGTGTACAGTTATGCACATGCAAAAAGAGATGCAATGTTCATATTTCCTTACACATTTTTAAAGAATTCATCATCTGTGAATCAGAGTATATCCTCATTATGTTGTCTTCTAGTAATCTAATAATCTTTAAATGCTATACTCTTACCAACAGTCTCCCTAACAAACTAAGGAGTAGTTCAGCAGCTGGCCATTCAGGCTTATTGACTGTTGAAAGAAGGTCTTGAACAAAATTTTCAAACAGTGGTCTATAATCTTCTTCACCTTGCTTACTACCACATCTGTTCAAAGACAAAAAATGAAAAGGATGTCAATTTAGGTGACACATGTCAGTCAACTGTCTACCAACATGATTGAAATTGCTAAGTTTTCTTTTCTCTATATTTAGTAACAAGGTATATAAAAGTACGTTAAATAAAATATGGTTTCAAATTAGTCTATTTCACAAACTCCATCTTCTACTTAATTATAAGGAATTCAATTATTAAGCAATACTAATATTACTTTCTGGCAAGTGAAACACATTTTTAAAAATGATCCTGTTTTTCTACCTACAAGATCACCACAAATTCTTATGGAGGCTAAATAACATCTCTTCACAAACTTTACTATTCAAGTAGAATAGAAAAATTCTCCAAAATTATTAAAGACAAATTACAAAATTTCAATCTAGTACTTTAATTTCTAGAGACTAATATATAAGCAAATTCACAAAATTTTTAGATATTCCCCACCCCCTGCCCCGGTAGTCCCATCCCAATTTTAGATGTTGAATACTCCAATTGCCTCATTTTAAAGATCAAGAAACCAAGGGTCAGGAAGAGGTATTCAAGGTTCAGATTATGGGAGGAAATTGGATTAATCTTTTTCTTAAAATGAACTAGCTTCTACACTGTGGAAAAGAAAAACCAGATTTATGTTAATTTTACTCACTTTTTAAGGAAGATGGAGAGGAAGTTTTGGGCTGTTCGCATAGCTGTTTCATAAGAGTTGGTAATGACAACATCCTGGTCGACCTATGGTGAAAAAAAAATGAGTTTATAAAGATACAAGAAAGAATCGATAAATAAATTAGCGCCATACTACTGTCATGTTATTACTGAAGAGGGATAATCCAGTTAAATACTAAAATGCTTAAAATATTCTGGTATATATAAACAGAAAAGCCAAAATTAGCACACTAAGCATATTTTAATACTTTATAGAAACAAAAATATGGATAATTATTAAAATATGTAAGAGTGACAAACGTAGTTAACAAATTTAATATCAATAAGTTGCTCATCATAATCCTGGTCAGAAGAGAAAGAAATGGATTGAAAATACAAAAGGAATTTAGAAAAAGTATTTCGACTTAAAGTTTAAGAAACACATAATCCAGCAAGGCGTGCGGGCTCATGCCTGTAATCCCAGCACTTTGGGAGGCTGAGGTGGGTGGATCACAAGGTCAGGATTTCGAGACCAGCCTGGCCATATGGTGAAACCCCATCTCTACTAAAAAATACAAAAATTAGCTGGGTGTGCTGGTAAGTGCCTGTAGTCCCAGCTAATCGGGAGGCTGAGGCAGGAGAATTGCCTGAATCTGGAAGGCGGAAGTTGCAGTGAGTCAAGATGACACCACTGCACTCCAGCCTGGGTGACAGAGTGAGACTCCATCTCAGAAAAAAAAAAAAAGAAAGAAAAGAAAAGAAAATTCAATGCCTTCATCAGAAATTTAAAGATCAGGATATAAATAGTCAATTCATAGTTGTAAAAATCCAAAAGACAAATATCTATAGGAAAAGGGACTCAAGCTCACTAATAACCAGGAATATGCAAAATAAAACAGATATTTCACAAAGACCATAATTTTAAGTAAAATGTAGCATTATAAACTTAAATACCACTTTGGTAAGCTAATTGACAACTTCCAGTAAAGTTAATGCATGTACACTATCTTGATTCTACTTCTAAGTATATACAGAGAAACTTTTGCTTTAAGTTGTGATTCTATGATATGGTGTTTTTAACTCAAGTAAAAAAAAATCTAGTATGAGTTGTATGTATTAAAAACGATGCTGAGTGAAAAAATTAGCTGTAAATATGTCACTGTCATTTATATAAATTTTAAAAATGAAATAATTGTATATCAAATTAACATAAAAAATAATTTAAAAGAAGGAAATAAACATATTCATCATACTTGTCACCAATGAGTAGGAAAGGAAGACTGGAGACAAACAATGGGATTGGAATGGGAGGAATAAAGAGGACCTGAACTTTCTGGATAATATTTGACTTTCTTTCATTCATTCATTTTGAGATAGGGTCTCATTCTGTCACCCAGGCTGGAATGCAGTGACACAATCTTCGCTCACTGAGTCTCCATCTTTCAAGGCTTGATTGATCCTCCTGTTTCAGCCTCCCAAGTAGCTGGGATGACAGGTACACATCACCATGTCCAGCTCATTTGTGTATTTTTTTTGTAGAGACAGGGTTTCGTCATGTTGTCCAAGCTGGTCTTGAACTCCTGGCCTCAAGCAATCTGCCGGCCTTGAACTCCCAAAGTGCTGGGATTACAGGCATCAGCCAAAGTGCCTGGCCAGTGATTATTAATTATTATATATTTATTATTATACATAGAAACATATACATAATGCTTGGTTCTAACAGTAGATAAAATTATTTCTGTTTCTCTTAAATTTTTGTTGAGGTAAAAGTATACACTTGGAAAAATTCTAAACATCTCCAAAAGCTATAAAACCAAAAGCAAATCTTAGGCATGAGTTACCTATAAGGGAGGGAATAAACTAATTTTCCACATGAATTTAATGTTAATTATAATTCCATGTTATACATTTATATACAGGTTCATTATATCCCTAATCTGAAGATCTGAAAGGCCAAATGCTCTAATGCACATTTCCTTTGAATATCATGTTGATACTCAAAAGATTCAAATTTTGGAGCATTTCCGATTTTAGATTTTTGGATCAGGGATGCTCAACATACATATATATTATATATTATATTATATTATTTACGTTCACATTTAATATCTCGCTGATCCTTACAACCTGGTACGGTACTTTTGATAAGTATTATCACCCCCATTTTACAGCTGAAGTATAATCTCAGAAAGATTAAAATGATTTATATGTTATATGACTGGTAGGTATAACAGAACCAGAACTCAACTCTTCCAACACCTTGTCTAGTGCTCTAAAAGGACCTCAAAGCCCAGCCACGAACCTCTAATTAAGAACCATCATTTTGGCCAGACGCAGTGGCTCATGCCTGTAATCCTAGCACTTTGGCAACCTGAGGTGGGCGGATCACGAGGTTACGAGTTCAAGACCAGCTTGACCAACATGGCGAAACTCCGTGTCTACTAAAAAACCAAAAATTATCCAGGTGTGGTGGCGTGCACCTGTAATCCCAGCTAGTCAGGTGGCTGAGGCAGGAGAATCGCTTGAACCTGGGAGGGGGAGGCTGCAGTGAGCAGAGATTGCGCCACTGCACTCCAGCCTGGGCAACAGAGCGAGACTCCGTCTCAAAAAAAAAAAAAAAAAAGCAAAACTTCAGTTTTATAAGAATGGCAGAGATATAGGTGTTTCCTTCAATAAAAGTATAGTTGTAAAACCTTTAATAGATTCCTTACTTTTTTATTTGAATCTTCTTCTGCATTAGAGTCCTTCTCTGATGATGGTAAGTGTACCACACACTGAATAAGTTGCAAAACCAGTGCTGTAACCATCTGAATATACATAGGTTCTCCATCCATATCACTACTGTTTAACCTTTAATGAAGAAAAAAAAATTTATATGGAGTATCAAGATAGTCTCATTTAAATGTCATCTACTGTCTGAAAGCTTCACAATACTGTGTTTGCCAATATTTCCAGGCATGATTTTAGTGCATATAATAGTGTTCTTATGCGCAATTATTTCTCATAAGTTAGCAAATACATCAAGTAAATGCCTATGCATGCTCAGATAATTAAAACAGTCAAAGGAAAAATATAATATTTAACACAAATTTCTATCTTTTGCATACATTGCAGATAAAAATTCATAAAATACTAAACATTTCTCAAAATGATTTAAAAAATGATAAAAGTCTTCAAAGTTTCTAAATACCCATATATTTTGCTATTCATCTGCTGAATCTGTTATTCATTTGGTATTAAAATCTGCTACACAGCTCTTGATCATCTGTGTTAGCATTGGTAGCACAGATTGTTAAAACTCAATTTCCACATCTTTTGTTCTACAGACATTGTAAAAATGTAAGGATTCTTTTACATGTTGATAGTTTTTCTTCAGGTTTGACAATAAATGTTTATCAGTATATAATTAGTCCAAAAAATGATTAAGATAAAATAATTACTTAAGAGAAAAAAGAAGACTTCAGAGCAATCTAAAAATAACCCTATATGCCACGTCAACACTTTTAATCACTTGGGAACATTAAGATAATTGTGGTAATTATCTATGATGGCAAAGACAATAATGGTGACCATAGCAGTGGATAACATTCCTTAGTAACAGTGTGCTTAGTGATTAGAGAGCATTTAATCCCCATGTTTATTCTCCATATTGCTATTATAGTAATCTTTCTGCTCTTTTTTTTTGAGACAAATCTTATAAAATAAAAATATTTTAAAATCCTCTTTGAAATGATCTGATTCTTTTGAGGCATATTTCCAATAAAATCAACAGGATCTTCTCACTGACTAGTGGTTTGTAATAAGGAATGATTTTGCTCTCCAGTGCCTGAAGATAATTTTGGTTGTCACAACTGGAAGGAGGAAGGGTTTCTATTGGCATCGAATGAGTACAGGTCAGGGATGCTGCTAAGCATCCTATATTGCACTAGACAGCTACGTAGAAAGTGTTATACGGCGTAAAATGCCAACAGTGCCAAGACTGAAAAACCCTGCCACATATATTTACCTTTGAGGATCAGTGAGCTTCTCTAAGCCCCCCAAATATGGCATGTTATTTCACACATCTAAGCTATTCTTCACGCTGTTCTGATTTAACTGCCTGGTTTTATTTATTAAAATACAAATCAGACAGAAATGAAAAATAAATGTATGACGGTTCAATATAATGGAGTTCTTTGTTATACCTGACCTTTGTTATAATTAATTACCTGAAGTTCCTTAAACTCCTCTTGCTGGTTGGTAATCTTGCAAGTGAAGTAAAAATTTCTTCTAAAATTAATTGCCTGTGTTTTTCATATCTTGAGAATACCTGTTTAGTAATTATAAAATTCCAAGTTAAACTTATAATTAATGACAAGAAACAAAAAAATCATGCAATGAAAAAATTTACCTGCTGTTTAGAATGAAAATGTTTTCAGTATCTTAAATGGTGGTGACGTAAGGTAAATTGGTGAATTTTCCTATCATTAATTATAACATAGAAGTCAAGAGTACAATAGTTTCATTTAAAGGACTATGATATCCTGGCTATAGACTGTCACACAAGATTTAAATGATTTTAAGCCATTCTAACTTGACTATAAATATCAAGGAATTATTAACTGAAATATTTGCAAATACTTAGAACAGTTTTAAATGTGACAAAAACAGAATAACCCAATAAATTCACAAAACAGAAAAATAAATCCTCAATTTATAAAGTCTAATAAGACTTAGTAAAACAGTCCTTAGACTGAAATGAATGTACTGAAAACCACGTTTATCTTCATTAATTTTTGGAAGTTTGGATTAAATGACGTCAATATTATTTTATTTGCAGGGTAACTAAAAATACAAATTGCTTATACTTACTGCAGTGACTAACTTGATGGCACATAATTGTAGTTCACTGACATTTTCCACAAAAAATGGTGTTATTCCCATAGATGAAACCTGTTTAAAAAAAAAAAAGAGTAAGTAGTACACATCTTTAGTTGATTTCAGAAACATTCCATCTTGTTAAATTCCAATACATTCAAAAGCTTACTGGAAAACACTAAGGGCATTTTTTTCCTTCCCCCACCTAATCAGCAACTATTCTTTTCTCTGTTCCCCTTCATCCTTAAAGCACATTAGCACATACAACAGGTACCCTGTTTCATAGCTATTAGTCCTCTAATTTCTACTTTTTGAGTTTATACATGTCACAAGAATGTAAAGAAGTAACAATCATTTAATATCTGCATGAACCTACTTTCAAAGAATTTAGAGTTTGGAATTTACACTACATTCATTTGTCTACTGATAAAATTCTTTTTAAAACTCCTGAAATTTTATTTCTTCAATTTAGAAATAACATACTCTTAATAGGAAAAATTATTAATAATATAGTGCTGGTCTTATTATTAAGTGAGTGTGGTTTTACTGGACTTAATCAGTTAGTTCAGAAATATAAAAAATGCTTACCAAAAAAACTTACCTGAAGAATTGTTGTGTCTGTAAGAAGCTGTATCTCTAGCAATTCTGATAAGCTGCTAACAATGTCACAAACTTTGTTATAAAGCATTACTATTACTCTCTGCTTATGGGTAGAACATTTAGCCCGTTTTGCTTTTGAACTTAATAAGCCTCCTAAAATGAAACAAATTCAAGACAAGGAAGATATCAACTTTTAATAATTTTTAATAAAGGTATTGAAACGGTTTTTTGAATTAAGAGAACACAGTTTTTCAGTTACATAAAAACAGAACCTGGAAGATAAAGCTTTTTACTTATTAAAACAGAAAATTACTATCTAGAGATATTCTTTTGGAAACATTCTTGTAACAGATGATCTTCAGTAGCTATTAAATCCTTGCATCTAAAATGTTATTTTATCTTGATTTTAATTTTTCTTCATTGGCACAGGATAGTAAGATTATACTTCCCTTTAAATTAATTTGCAATTATACAATAGATCAGCAAGTTCATTATTCAGGAACCTAAGTATGACTTTACTCCCTTCAAATGTATACATCTCACTGTTCACTTATAAAGGTTAAGGAGTATTTATCTTGAATCAATCCATTTTGTAGACAACTGCTATTTTGGGTAAAATCAGGGGGATGTAATAAATGAAATCAGAAGCTAGTATTATCTGAGATTTTCCCTGACAAGTAGAAATAACTTCTATTATATATAAATAGTTGCTAAAGAAATTATACTTGAACAAGTATTATATTCTAGACAAATCCATAATCAAAATCAGTTTTTATTACAACTTACATGATTCAAAAAGTTTGGTGACATTTTAAGTCCTATTTTGACTCATCTAACATGGCAAAAATTTACAATAATTTCGATATTATACGAACTAACCTCCATGAGGATCTAATCTGTAAACAGGATCATACTGAGGATAAAGTGTATTCTGCAAATGAAATTTAGTGTACTGTATAACTCTTTCAATTACATCCTCAATGTACACAGCTTTTGGCATGTTAGGGGATGTCATAATGTTGATAGTTGTAAGACAAGCATCTGCTGATTTTGTAACTCTTTCCATAATAAGGTCTCTCCATAACCTTTCTTCTTCTTCAGTGTCATTATTCTGTAAAACAGTACATTGTTAATGAAGTGGAAAAAACACACTTATAGGTTTAAAATATCCATTAAAATTACAATTTATTTGATTTTCACTAGTAGAAAACAGTGTTATGATGTGTGTACATTCTTTAAGGAATATCCAGAATGAGGTACAAATACTGATACTACTTTGAGAACAATTTGTGTTTCAATGTTTTCAACCATGATATACTCTACGTCATTTCACTACTACATGATGCCCTACTGACAAAGTTACAATTACCTTTATCTTCGATGGGCTTTATCCAAATCTAAGATTTAGTTTATAACTTTAACTGTATATGAATTAATTCTGTGTTTTGGGCGTAAACATTATGATAGTTTAAAAACTTTATAAATTCTGCTTGCGGCTGTGATAACAAAGCAAAAATTAATGACAAATGGTAAAGCCTTATTTAGTACTAAAATGTTGACAATCATTCCTATCACCTACTTTTCAACAACACTAGGTTTCTGACACTGAGATTAAAAAGCAGTAATATGCACACTAATGAAGACATTATTTTTTTAAATAGATAATTTAAGAACTGACAGAAGACCTTATTTTAATCTACTTCATATTGCAATTGGGAGTTTAATCTCAGTGTTAAGTAAAAATCCTTCTATCACATCTTTAGTTACGAAATGTAAACTATATTATAGGACTACTTCCAAATATATCCTATTCAAAGCTTATACACCAGGAAAATGAACAAAAACACAATATATTATATGTAAAGCAGGCAGACTTTCTGCTCAGTAATGCCTAAATACTCTAGAAGGGAAAGCTAAAGTAGCTTGTCTTTGATGTGAACATTGCTGTTTGGAAGAGTCAGTTAAGGAGGTTCATGATTCATGCCAAACATTAAGGCGATCTACAACACATTAAATGCTGTTATAGTTTTTAGGAATGAAAGTAATTTCCTTAAGACTGAGTCAGCCAGCTATCCAGGACTCCAGATTTTTGAGGATGATTATCACAATTTCCTGGTGAAGTATTTAAGTAACTTGTAGATTAACGATGGAGTAGATTGTTGTTTTAGGTTTCTCTAGGTCCTTGTTTCGGTGATGCAAAAGTAGTTTAAAGAGATGGTGTTTAAAAATATAAATATATTTAATAATCCAGAAAACGACCACCTGAGAATATTTTTCTATGTATTTTATTCCAGGGGTGTCCAGTCTTTCGGCTTCCCTGGGCCACATTGGAAGAATAATTATCTTGGGCCACATATAAAATACACTAACAATTATAACAGCTGATAAACTTTAAAAAAAAACTGCAAAAATAAATCTCATAATGTTTCAAGAAAGTTTACAAATGTGTGCTGGGATGCATTCAAACCTGTCCAGGGCCACATGGGCCAGCAAGCCATAGGTTGGACAAGGTTGTTTTATTCCAGGTAGATCACCTAGCAATCCTGTGGCTTTTGCAAACACCAAGAGCATCTCCCTAAGAAGATTAAAAAAAAATCTAGAGCTTGTATTAAATATATATACTACATACGTATACATGAGAAGTATGTGTATCAAAAGTGTTCAAAATAGTTACTGTTAATTTAGAATTTGGCTTTTTTTAGTGCTTTTTGTGTTTTGAAAATTTTCTACAATAAATATATTACTTTTATAATCAATCTTTTAAAAATAAAGAAAATTTAGCCAGGTGTAGTGCCTCAATCCTGTGGTCCAGAGCTTTGGGAGGCCAAGATGGGAGGATTGCTTGATGTCAGCAGTTTGAGACCAGTCTGAGCAACACAGTGAGAACTTGTCTCTACAAAGTATTTTAAATAATTAGCCATGCATTGTGGTGCAAGCCATGCATTGATCTTGATCATATCAAGATCAATTTGAATGAACTTGGGAGGCTGAGGTGGGAGGATCACTTGAGCCCAGTATTTTGAGACTGCAATGAGCTCTGACTGCAGTGCAGCACTCCAGCCCGGGGACAAAGTAAGACCCTGGCGAAAGAAAGAAAGGAAAGAGAGAAAGGGAAGGAAGGAAGGAAGGAAGGAAGGAAGGAAGGAAGGAAGGAAGGAAGGAAGGAAGGAAGGAGGGAGGGAGGGAGGGAGGGAGGGAGGGAGGGAGGGAGGGAGGGAGGGAGGGAAGGAAGGAGAAAGAAAAGGAAAGAAAAAAGAAAGAGAAAGAAGGAAGGGGAGGGGAAGAGAGAGTGGGGAAGGGGAAGGAAGGGAGAAAGGAATAAGAGAGAAAGAGAGAGAAGGAAGGAAGGAAGGAAGGAAGGAAGGAAGGAAGGAAGGAAGGAAGGAAGGAAAGGGGAGGGAGGGAGGGAGGGAGGGAGGGAAAATTTATCAACTCAAAACTTACTAAATGCCTATAAGCATTAATGTTTGTATTCAATAATGTCAGAGATATCAAGATCAATTTGAATGAACATATAATTTATAGTCCGCTACAATGCTACAAGGCAAATCCCAAGAAATTTGCTTTACTCAATAAATTATTGCAACCATGTTGCTACTGCTTTTGATATAAACACATTAAAATGTAGTAACAGCTGCAGTTAACATTTACTGAGAAGTTAAAGTGCGCCAGACACTGTTATAAGTACTTTACATGAATTAATTTATTTTTATTTACTTATTTATTTTTTTTTTGTTATGGAGTTTTGCTCGTTACCCAGGCTGGACTGCAATGGCGCAATCTTGGCTCACCACAACCTCCACCTCCTGGGTTCAAGCAATTCTCCTGCTTCAGCCTCCCGAGTAGCTGGGACTACAGGCGTGTGCCACCATGCCCAGCTAATTTTTATATTTTTAGTAGAGATGGGGTTTCACCATGCTGACCAGGATGGTCTTGATCTCTTGACCTTGTGAGCCACCTGCTTCGGCCTCCCAAAGTGCTGGGATTATAGGTGTGAGCCTCCGTGCCTGGTCGAATTAATTTATTTAATCCTTTTAACAACCCTTTGAGGTAGGTATAAAAATGGTATATAAGGAGTAATGTATATTAATTAAGGATTGATTAGTATACATTTGGAAATCATGATAAGGTTTCACTATGTTATTTCTCCAGGGAAGGTCAACAAAAAGAATTACCACCTACTATCATCTCATAAATCAAAAACAAAATTTAAACATTCACACACTACATAAGGAAGAGCATAAACTAAAGAACAGTCCTTTAAATTGAAAAAAAATACATTATTATTCTTGCTTTATGACAAAGCTGTGAATTGACAATGTGTAACAATAATTCTGAATTACTACAAGTGAAGTTCTATCAGCAATGCTAATGAATGTAACTTGTAATTTATGGTAACATGCTCAAATTAGCAAAATGTGAAATTTCCCCTATACATGAAAGTCATTTGTGAAAAAATTCACATTAGTCCCTCCCATATGCAAATTCCAAGACCCCCAGTGCATGTCTAAAACCACAGATAGTATCAAACCCGATATATACTTTGTTTATTCCTATATATACATAACTAAGATAAAATTTAATTTATAAATTAGGCATGGGAAGAGATTAATGGCAATAAAATATAGAACAATAAACTGTAATAAAAATTATTCACCTATTTTCAGATTATAGTTGACTGCAGGTAACTGAGACCATGGAAAATGAAACAACAGAGAAGTGGGGACTACTACAGATCTTAATAACATTAAGGGTAAAATTAATAGCATGGATCTTAAACTTACGTGATTTAACAAAGTGGAAAGCTTTGACCCATCCTGAATATTCTTCTCTAAGATATTTAGGACTTTCACAGTTTTGTCAGTTGAAAGCTAAAATGGCAACATAAATTGTCTTATCAGTTGTTGGCAAAAGTTTTATACTACTGAAGAAATAGTCTATAATTACTCCATTTGAGCTATGGAGGAAATAACATTGTCACCCTTTTAAAGAATAAGAAAACTTTCCCACTTAAAACTTCTACTCATGACCCTAAATGACTAAAGCAAATGTCAAAAACATTTTATGTATTTCTGCATTTAAATAATCTAAGTATTTGAGAAATGAAAAAAAAAAAAAACCCCTGAAGAAATTAAAATCTATGCCTCTTTCAATGCAGTAATATGATTCTCTTTAGAATAATTTGCAGAATATTTATTTCATTCAAGGTTTTATAAAAAAACAAAAAACTCATTTAGAGTCTCAGAAGTCAACAATGAGTTTTCTTTCTACTATTTACTTTATATAAACTTTATAATTTACCCTGAAAACCTTAAATTAATTTCGAATGTTATCTATGAAGTAAATTTACTTTGGTGAGATACCTTATCCATTATACCCATTGCTTTAATTTTAGCGGATTCACTGCCAAGTTCATTAAGCTGATGTTTTCCTAAGAGCAGTTCTTGAGGAATTTCATCATCATCACCTGCAAAATCAAGCCAAACAAAGACAAACAAAGTTTAGGTAAATAAAATAGCTCACAATGGCAAGCTTAACTTTCTAATAAAATTTTAGACCCACGAACTAAACAACTTAAGAGGCGTCTATAAACTTTAAGTACACCCTGAATGAAAGAGGACAGAAATTAAAGTCAGATTTATGACTAAAACGGGAAGATGAGATAGATATCTTATCCTTACTACTTTAGATATACTCTTGCCTCTTCTCAACCACACTTTCTGCCTCAGGAGGCTGACTTAACGGACTATATCAAGAGTCTCTTGTGCCCTCTGGCTTTTGTTTCAGCCATTAGGGTGCCCTATTAGAAGATCAAAGAGGAGTGTAAGGTCAAGGTATTTGTATCTCTTACTCTTTGCTTACAAGGTCTCCTCAGGCTGGCTCTGTCCCTGACCAAAAGGTGTTATTTTTTTCAAGGCAACCTACTCTACAACTTTTTTTCTTGCAGAATGAGTTCTGGTGACTTTTCTGTAACCTGACTTTTTTGGTCTTTGGGTTCTGGTACCATTTTGCCGCCATCTTTTTTTTTTTTTTTTTTTTTGAGAGGGAGTTTCGCTCTCCTTACCCAGGCTGGAGTGCAATGGCGCAATCTCGGCTCACCGCTACCTCCGCCTCCTGGGTTCAGGCAATTCTTCTGCCTCAGCCTCCCGAGTAGCTGGGATTACAGGCGCGCGCCACCAAGCCCAGCTAATTTTGTTGTATTTTTTTAGTAGAGACGGGTTTTCACCATGTTGACCAGGATGGTCTCGATCTCTTGACCTCATGATCCACCCGCCTCGGCCTCCCAAAGTGCTGGGATTACAGGCTTGAGCCACCGCGCCCGGCCCGCCTCCATCTTTTTAACTGGTCTCTTTGTAAATAACTCCTCAAATTATCCTAATTTGAGAGTGCCCTCTGTCCTTTTGGGACCCTAATGATACAGAACACAATTTTTCTGCATAGAATTGTAAAGTTTTAAAAAGAGATGAAACTGACATTTGAAATTAGCAAACACAATGGTACTTAGGCAAGTAATTCTCACAAAACAAATACTAATTTTACCAGCTGAAGATGGCATAGGATTTTTAAGAGTAGCTCTATACATTGCAAGCAGTGTTTTTATAAACATAATACTTTAATATGTGTAGATGTAATCTTTATGTCATTGTAAAAGTAATACATGAATATAACATTAATCCTACTGTATTCTAATTGGTTTATTATTTTGTTTTCCATATTAGAGTCTGTATTCCCTGAAGCCAGGTGTTTGGATCTTATTTATTTTTGCATTTCCAGAGCTTAACATACTACTGGCACATCCTAAGTATTCAATAAAATTGGTCATTAGAATCAATGAACAGAAGAATAGATGCTTATTTCTACATACTTGCTCCTATCAGAACCTTCATTATCCAGGCTGTTGCCCAGCCTGGAGTGCAGTGGCGTGATCTCAGCTCACTGCAACCTCTACCTCCCAGGTTCAAGTGATTCTCTGCCTCAGCCTCCTGAGTAGCTGGGATTACAGGTGCCTGCCACCACGCCCAGCTAATTTTTGTATTTTTAGTAGAGATAGAGTTTCACCATCTTGGCCAGGCTGGTCTTGAGCTCCTGACCTTGTGATCCACTCGCCTTGGCCTCTCAAAGTGCTGGTATTAAAGGCATGAGCCACTGCGCCTGGCTAAGACTTCTTTAATTACTCTAACTTATTCAGAATTCTTTAGATATTATCAAGACTTGATTAATTTAACTTGTGTTTTGTACTAAAGTTTTTAATTTCTTGATAACAGACTCGATTTGACTTCTCAACTAAATTTCAAGTTCCTCAATAACACACATCATGCCTCTGTATCCTCTAGAGTAACTGACAGAAAGCTAGACATTTAGAGTAGGGATAAATGTATTTTAAGTCGATTTTACCAAATGCAGTAAAATCCATATCTTCCAAATTATCCAAAATATTCTCTATTGAGGCTGTGAATCTCTTAAAAGTTGAAGAGTCCATCATTTCTGCAAGAGAGAAAAATATATTCATTATTCTCACATTCCAACAGACGTGAAGCTGATGAATAAAGACAAATTAAATTAACTCAAATGTTACCTTCAGGTGTTAGTTTTGGTTCATATGCTTTCCTTTTCTTCTGTTTTTCTTTTTTCTTCATTTTCCTAGCAACTAAAATGAACAAAAAGAAGGACTGAAATGTAGGAATGACAACTTAAAATATTTCCATTTTTGTTTCTAGTTTTTTTTCCTGAATGTTAAAAGACTTAAACTAATAATCACTGCACATAGAAACTAAATACATTTTGTCTTAATTGAAAAGTAGTTAATTAGCTCATAAAAAGATATAAAATATTCTTCAAAGTTAAAGCCCTGAATTTAAATTGGTTTATGTAAGAAATCCGTTGACACTGATGAATTACCCTCACTAAGGCTGGGAGGAGGAGAATAATCTTCCATGTCTGAATCTGACGGACTCCGGTTTCGATAACGACCACCACCTGAACTCCTTCTTCCTTCATGAGAGTGGCCACTTCTCCTATGATCCCCAGAGCTTCTTCTGTCACGCTCTTCATATTCCCAAGCTTTATCATCATCTTTTTTATGTCGTTTCCTAGAGGCTAGAAGCAAATCCCCATGACAAATAATTTACCTCATTTAAAAAGACGATTAAAACTTGTACTTTACAAATGAACCATATGGGGAAAAAAAATCTTCATTCCATAGGGTCTAAGAAAGTCAGAGTGATTTTGTCTATCCAGAAGTTTAAGTTATGATATAGAAAAAGTATCACTAATTTTAGCGCCATCTACCCAGATTAAAAGATCTTTACGCAAACTCAGTATTTATTGCTAATAAATACAGATAGGAAGGTTCTTGGAATTAAACTTTGGTGTTCATTTCAATGACAGTTATTCAGTAAGTCAGTAAAGGTTATATCTAAACTTCAAGATTAATTAAGGCTTTGTAAAACAAACTTTATTTAGGAAATGGATGGAAAACAGAACCACCTTAAAGCACTTAGATTACGGATGGGGAGTAGGGTTTGGAGGAAAAGTCAGGTTTTGAGAAAGTGTTACAGAATATAGTAACCATGTATACCATCAATTAATAGCTAAGTTATACCCACAACTTAGCGATAAATTCCATAAGCCCTGGTGACCTAACATGATAAGCCTACAGAGATAGAAGAAACCTATACAGTTGTAAATACTCACATATTGAATTCAGTTCTCCAACAAAGGCTTGCTTAAACCCAAGAAAAGTTTCTAAACTTATGCATGCTTCGTAAGCATGATTATATATGTTACCTTCAATCTTTCCCCCATCCTTCCAGAGGTCTAAGCATTCTGCTAAAATCACCCGTACTGACAGGAGCCTCTAGGCAGACCTGGCAAACAGATTTCATCTGACACATCAACTCTGATCAACTGGCAATAGCTGTCTAGAACATTATGTTGAAAATAACTCTGAGCCTTGAGAAAGCATCATAGTTCAGCAAGAAAGACTGATTACAAATGTCTGCAGTAAGAGCTGGAGGGCAGCATAAGTGACAAATATTTACCATTTCTGTTCTAGTATGTAGTAAGTACCACCAAGTTAAAATCACGGTAGACAAGTGATGTGTCCTACCTTGAGATCACATACTGGTTGTTGTTGTGACCATTTGTTGCTGACAATGATAAACTTTCTAGTCTGTTATTTCACCAGCAACTGCTCTTTTCTGAATCCCTAACTATGTTTAAATACACAAATACTTAAGACAAATGTTTTGCCTAACTCCCCTACTTGGCTCAGATGTAAGGATGCTAACCTCTGGCCCAGGCACTGTATGCTTGTGCCAGTGTCTTCATGTGTGGGTAATAATGTCTATACTTTGGCTAATCTTATCTTTAAATGCCGCCCTAAGTATTCCTATTCAAGTATCTAGTTTGGTTTCTGGTTCTGGACTCTTCTATCCAATCTATGGACAACATGGCAGGAAAAGGTCATTTTGCTGCTGCTTCTTTATAGTTACAGGGTTGGCATAGCAAAAAGGTTTATATAAAGGACAAATGTAAATGAATATATTTAAATATCTGAGATTTTCTTCATAATTAGGTATACATTTGGTTATGAGGTATGTGAGGAGAGACAGGACTGTTCCTCTTTTATGACTACAGTATTCTCTAGTACATTCCTTTAATGACAACTTGTTTCATATACTAATATAAGTAGGGTGTGTGTGTGTGTGTATCTGTGATGGAGAAACAGGTCATTTTTATATAGAATTCCTTAAATGTTTTTTTCACAAGAACTGAAATGCCTAAATTACAAGGGATGTCAACTAATAAGCAAACTTCTTCAGAAAGCACTATTTTCTTCGGGGAGCAGAAAAGGGGTTTTGCTAGGTTGCTCAGGCTGGTCTCAAACTCCTAGGCTAAAAAAATCTCCCACCTCGGCCTCCCAAAGTGTTGGAATTACAGGCATGACCTACGACACCAGAAATTAGTATTTTACAACCTCAAATATGACTTACTTTTGTCTTTGTACATTTTAATTAATTTCCTAACATCCATTTCAAGCATTCAATCCTATGAGTAGAAAATGCTTGATAAATCTTATAGTGGTTTGTAATTACATAGAATATGCTGCATTGGTGTTAACTATCCATGTATCTTGTAAATCTTTATTTCACATTCATCAAATTTTAGACAATTTGGATAAAAATGGGGTAACAAATTTAAAAAAACATCCATAACACATTGTGTTATATAACGAGGTTATTAGGATACCAACTGATTGTGGCTAGCTTATTCTTTCTCAATTTCTCTCATTACCTTGGAATAAGCATGGGAGGGGAAAGGACTCAAAAGAGAGGCATGTAAAATATGACTTGGGTGTTCTCTATCCTCCTTCCAAATTTCACCTATATATCTCTTGAGCTTCTTACATCGCCCCTCTGTCTTCCCCAGGAACCCAGTAACCTTATACTTGTGCAATGGCCATCCAAATCTGTGTAGTCCAACTTGCAAAATTATCCTTCAACATTTCCCCCTAACTTCCCACAAAACTATTTCCTTGGTTTTAGATTTGAGAAATCAATCTGATTAAACTGCTAAGTTTCAAAAAGTCTCTCTCTTTCAAAGTAGCATAACGCATGCAACTTACATTCTTATGATAGTTTCAATTTTGTATTGTGCTTTACTTTCACTACACTATTTTTGTTGTGGTGTAACATTTTTTTTTTTTTTTAAGAGAGTCTTGCTCTGTTACCCAGGCTGGAGTGCAGTGGCGTGATCTTGGCTCACTGTAACCTCCGCCTCCCAGGTTCAAGCAATTCTCCTGCCTTAGCCTCTCAAGTAGCTGGGACTACAGGTACATGCCACCACGCCTGGCTAATTTTTTGCATTTTTTAGTAGAGACGGGGTTTCACCATGTTAGCTAGGATGGTCTCGATTTACTGACCTCAAGTGATCTACCTGCCTAGGTCTCCCAAAGTGTTGAGATTACAAGCGTGAGCCACCATGCCTAGCTGACAATTTGGTAGTTTATGTGAACAACCATTTGGACTTCTTTCACCACTCAAATCAGTGGCTCCAGTGTCTACTTTTCTATAGTTACTTGTATAGAAATAAGTGAACAAAAACAGGAAGCTACTCTGACAGCTCTTTAAAAATCTAGAGAAACATTCCTTTTTCCTAGCAGTGGTTAAAGCTCAGGTTCTTTAAAGTAAGTGTTACCTTTCAACATAGTTGGGCATAGATATAACAGGATCCTTGGCTTTATGATGTAGCGATATGCCTCCATAAGATGAGATAATAGCTTTCATGATAGAGAGCAATGATAAGAATGGTGGCTGCATTGGTGACAAACATGAGGCATGTATGGCTATACTCTCCACTATTTCACACTTGGTAGACATTTCTGATTATGTTATCCTTTCCACTTAACTGTGAGACAGCTTCAGAAATCTTTTCAACTTAGTAATGTAGGTAGCCACTATCAGTCAACTGGATTTGAAATGTTATTCGAAATCAAACTGCAATTTAGGGACTCCTCCTTCTCAGCTATTCTTGATATGGCTGATATGTTTATTAGAGGGAAAGAGGCACAGTGATAAGGTATGTATATTATGTTTCTTTTCTCACCTTCCAGAGCTAACCATGTCCCCATATGACCAAAATGTTTGATTGTAATAAAAAAAATTAACTTTAGCCATTTTAATATACTGTGTGTCAATACATTTCATAATACAAATTATAACAATTATACATGATTAAATGTTGATTAAGTTTGCTATATATTTTATTTCGATTTTAAAACTTTGTTCAGATTTGTTCAGTATTCATAGTCTACCGCTCATAGCTCAAGAGCTCACAATTTTAAAAAAAATCAGTAAATTAACATTAAAAACTTTGGAGGAGGTGAAGGGCTTCCATCAGCAATATACATTTAAAAATGGCAGCATGCATCTGTCCTTCCTGCCCTTGCTTGTCACACCTCAATCTATGGACACTAGGTGGAAAAGGTAGAACATTGGTGGTCTTCCCACTTCTTTTGGTCATTATGACTAAGTCAGTTGGCACACAAGTGAAGATCTCCCATAGTCTGTTTCCACTGAATGCCGTTTAAGTCAAACAAGGTTGCTGACCCCTCTTGGCTAGGCTCAATTCTCTTGCTCCAGAAGAAGGAAGATAGGGATAAAAGAGAAGAACTTTTTCAGTGGGCCAGTAGGAAGACAGGCGAGGTATAGCAAGTCTAGTGCAAAGACAGGTGATCACAGTGTTGTAGAGAGGTAGCTGTGTAGTGAAGAAGCCAGCTCTGGAAAACAGTGAAACAAGGGAGGAATTCCAGGACACAGCTGGGCAAAAAGGAGAAGCCAGGTCCAAACCACAGAGATAATCTGCAATGTGGCTAATCCATTAATAATTTAGTGATAGTATGGTTTTAAATATTTCTTCATCTGGCTATCTCCTACGTGTCCTTCAAGACTCAACTCAAGTGTCACCTCTTCCAGTAAGCATTCCCTGAGCCCCCACTCTGATTTTGATGCCCTTCCAATGTGTTCCCATAGCACCCTGGATTTACTGTTATCACGTACTTTTATCAGCATACTGCAACTATTTATTTACATATTTCCCCCATTAGACTGAAGGCTCTTTGAAGACAGGGGCCATATCTTATTTGTATTTTTACTCTCAGTGTCTAGCATATAATAGGAGCTCAATAAATGTTTGCCGAATGCATATAGACACATACCTACCTGTGTTTTTAAACTAATTGTAGCTCATTTAGTATTTTTTTCTTGGTGCCAACTGATCTCATCTTTCAAGTATAGAGAAAAAAACTTACTATACTATGTTATTAAGAATTAAGGTGACTGTGCTCTTGCTAAACCCCCAAATTATAAGACAAACACATCAATCTGCTTTTAAATTCTAAAATAATAACAGAGGGTTCTGTGATACTTACATTCAAAAGCTTCATCACTATCATTATCTTCATCTGAACTGATTTCAGCATATTTTGGTTTTTCATTAACTGTGCTACGCTTGCGTTTGTTCATTTTCACACGTTCACAAAGTGGCATGGTAGACTCAATTTCTGCCAGGAGTTCAGGGGGTAATTCTTTTAACACTGATTGATCTATACTACCTATTAATGAAAGGTAAACAAAAGAAATGTAAATCTGAAGATAGAAAAAATTTTAACTAAATTAGCACAATAAAAATAAAATACTAGTATTTGTTTTCTACGTCACCTGTTTATTTTAATAAAACACAACTATAATACTCTTAACCCTAAAGTGACAATATTAATATACATGTCTGTACATATATATAAAAATATGTAACAACTTTAAAAACATGACACTTACCATCATAAAAATGAAGGGTAATTATATCATCAATTTTTGATATAATGCCTTCAATTTGTCTGCACTGACTAAAAACTTTCTGAAACTAGAGATTCACTGACATTAACAAATAGATTTGTGGTAAGAGGTACATTTCACATTCTTGGTTGTACACCGACTTTGTTTTGTGTAGGTCTGCAGTAGTCTGAATCTAATGTTACAATGCAAAGTGCTGGAAGACACTTACCACTCCTCCTCCTTCTGTATGATCTTGGCAGTTGTGTACGGTGGCTGGGACAAGAGCTTTACATATGTTTTTACCTATCACTGTCTATTTGAGGGCATGGTAATGCCTTTAGCATTATAGAGAACTTCTTCAAACAGACAAATCAATATATACATTTTTAACTGAAGACAAGAGAAACATGTAACATAGGATAAACAGACAACAAATATTTTAAAATATAAATGTCTGTAACTGAAAAGTACATTTCAAGTACTTTTAGAAAATTCAAGTTTGTATCTTCCCATGAAAGAGTCAAGACAATAAAATATATTACAATAAGAGCCATTATACTACTTAATCCTACACACACACACACACACACACACACACACACACACACACACAGTTCTTATGAAGTAAACTGTGACTATCTTCTTGACAGTTTAAAAAATAAAGTAGAAGTAGCATAAGCTACTTCTTATAATTTGTCCTTAATGACTACTGAAGATGGCAATTTTAGCTTCCTTTACTTACTTTGAGTGGAAGTATAAAAAGAAAAATCTTACCTGATAAATTTTATGAATTGGGAGCAAAGAGTACCTTTGTGGTTTATGGCAGGAAATATTAGTAACTTAAAATCAACATTAACACTATCTTTTATAACATGCAAATAATAGTGTTTATGTAAAGAATAAAAATCATGACAGAAAAACAGCTATCTAGAATATTAAGAAAATAAAATCAAATAATTCAAGATAGAGATATAAAATATTAATCTTAATTAAAGAATAACCCTTTTTTTATTCTTCTGAAACTTTTATTCAGTATCACAAAGGAGTTATTTCAGTAACTTTCAGGCTTCTGTTCTTCTAAGGACATGCATAGCAACAATTTTATCCAACAAACATGCAATACTCATGACTGGTAATATCCCAAAGACTTCATTGCTAAGAATTCTAACTAACGTTGAGTTTAACTTCTGTGTTATTTTGAAATCAAGTAATGTTTCTCTGTATTGGTTTTCTTAATTTAACTAGTTAAATTTTATCAGTGAGGGCCATTTTTTTTTCAGAATATTGGTAGAAGTAAAAGAAGTCAACTTCAGCTGTGCATTGCGTATCTTCAGCCTCAAACTGAACACATTCTGTATCTCCAAGTTTTTGAATATCTCTACTTTACTATGTATCTTTTTGATGGAAGATCATGTTTTAGAGTATACATCTTCCCTTTTCCCCATGATCTACATAACACTGAGTACATATATACAGACGGTCAGTAGATGCTTCTTGATTGCCTAACTCTGTGGTTCACAATTTCTTATGTTCACTTACAGATATACTTCCTGGATAGTTCCTGATTTGCTATATTTGATAGACAAGTGAGCACATTTCCAAAATTTTTAAGAACAGAAAACATTTTTGCAGCATTTGAAACATTACAATCTTTATGGGTTTATAAATACAGAGAGCCCAAAGTACTTGGCCTTTCATTCATCACAGGATTTTTTTTAAAGCAAATGTATCTAAGTGATTGTTCTGCTTAGATCAAATTCACATCACAGACATACTGACTTGATACTAATATCCCAGAATTAATATTTTCCTGCAGATAAACACATGCTAATCAAAGGTTAAAACATGTATTAGTTCTTATACTCTCTCTACAATGGGTTATTATGATCCCAGAGCAAAGACTCTGCTCTTTTTCTTTCTAAACAAATTCCTCACAATAACCAAACACAGACGACCTCTGCCTTATATCCAATAAAGCAGGTATCAACATTTATTAATGGTAGTTTACCCTTTCTTATTCCCTACATTAACAAGAATACTATCAATATCAACGGTTCTCTTTAACCTCTGTAAAACTTTGAAAGTTTAAACAATATAACTCAAAGGCCAAATGTTTTATTTCTGAAGATGACCCTAATAAAAAAAAATCCAGGAATCAATCTCTTGACATGTATCATCCTCCAAAAGTGGACAGTTTCATTTTGAACAGAACTGTCTCTATTCCACAGGTTTCATACATTTTCTGAATTAATCACATCCTTTCTTCTATTTCACAAAACACTTTATAAATGGACTCTGCCAGGGACCTTGATTACAAAGATAAGAAATAAAATGCTTGACTTTCCTATATTCAGGCCTGGGATCTTTAATATGACATCAAGGATCTGGATAACCCAGTCACCTGGAGGCTCAGATGGGAGGATCACTTGAGCTCAGGAGTTTGAGGTTGCAGTGAGCTATATTAGCACCACTGTACTCCAGCCTGGACAAGAGAATGAGACCCTGTCGTAAAAAAAAAAAAAACAACAGGATCCTGATCTGGATAACTAACTCAGTTTAACAAATGAATAAATAGAAAGTACTTAAAATTATCTGTATAACATACTTGGTTATGTTATTTGCCCTGAATTAGTTAATAATACATTAAACACAAACATAATCTCTTGCTATCTCTTAACATACGACGTATTTTAGGGATTGATGATTTTAGAGATTATTGTTGCTTGCCAAATTATTTGTTTCTAAAAACTTCAGATTACTAGTGCTTTATGATTATCTCTCACCTAATTTCTTGTCCTAACTACTTTATTCTTTAAATCAGACATCGGAATTTCCATAAAACTTAACATTACTGGCTTGATGAATACTGTCATTTAGTCAGAATTTTGTGAGATATCAAATTTTCAGCTTCTGTTTATGTATTCCATGAAGCACAATATACACTGTACTCTGCCTTTAATATGGCTAAGGAATACATTTACTACTAGATATGCTATATTTAAGCAATCTTTGATTTCTAGTATAAATCACTCAAATTAGCACTTGCCAGATTATTAAAACCAGAAATCATCAAAAGACTTAAAGTCCCAAAGAATCATTGATTTGATAACAATGTGTTTTGCTTCCTTTTAAAACAGGAAAACAACTCTGAGATAGAAATAAATCACCTAAACTAATAAAATCTTTGGGACTGAAGCTTTAGTCAATGCAAACAGGTCATGTTCAGAAACAAAACTAAAAACCTCACATAAACCTCCAAATTCGATAAATCCTAAAAACAAAAACACTTGAGCAGGCATAATGTAACAGTTCAGTGACAATTATTCCACTAACCTACTCATATAACACAGAAGCACCAAACAGATCTTTAACTTCAGTTAGAGGAAAGCCGGGGCAAAAAGAAAAAAAGTTTCAACGTTGCATGTAAATGACAACTTACTACTCATTATGTAAATGACAACTGACAACTTATTACTCATTACAAAAAAGTAAGATTCAAATGATTCTTTCCTTGATATGTATACACAGCAAGAAAGATAAATTGTGGCAGTAATATCTTTAAATCTACACTGAATATAAAGTACAGATACATAAAAACATGTTTTCAATAATTACTTTCTTCATTAGACAAAATTGAATGACTATACATTCCTTTATATGAAAACAATCAGACAGACTTTAGCTTTTACCATAACAATATTCATTTTGGTCTTTATAAATGCATAAAGTAGGAGGGAAAGTGGTTTATTTTAAAAGTGAATGAACCAAGCTTTGAAAGGTTAAGGCTTATTCAAGGTTTTGATTTCAGTGCTCTTTTGTACTATAATTTATAATAAGTTTGAAAGAGAATTTTCGAAAGCTAGAGAACACTAACATTTGTATAGGCAAGACAGGGGGATCCATATTTAAAAACCCATTTTATTTGTGTTATAATACTAGTAGGTATTCATACTCTTAATTTCGCATCAGGCCCTTGTAGGAAAGGGTTTCATTAATTTTTTTTAGAATGTAAGAGAATTCATCATGTCAAATATTATTTCTTCATAAATAGGGTCAGGTTCTCTCATAATTAATATTTGCTAGCTCTTCAGCTATCAATCTTATACCTATTTCGACAGACAGAAGAACCCAATAGAGGCTATGTTTTTGGGCTGGCTTAAGAGATGGAATGGAAAGGAGAGAGAACACCTCCAGCAAACTTAAATTTTTATTTAAAAAGTTCTACTTAATGCATTTCTTTTAAGCAATATTTGTGTGAACACTCTATTAAGCATAATTTGAAACAAAAATTTCTATAAATGGAAATTCTGGGTACAAATTTTCAAAATACCACTCTAAAATCATAATAAGAGCTAGGTACAGATTATGCCAACTTCTGTAACAAACTTTCTCCAAACATTTCCTAAACATATCACTGCTATAAATGTCTTTATAGAAACAGAAAATTTGAGTTTAGAAAGATATTTTATAAAATTGTGCAAATGAAACAAAATAAATTTCCACTGCAGCACCATTAAATGTTATTCAATATTAGAATCTACTTTAAAGAAAACACACTGAAAATTACTCAATTTAGGAATTAATAAACTATGCTACAAATCCACTCTCAGAAACAATACTATCAAACTTACAGAAGTTGAGGGTCCTAAACACAATCTAACTAGACTGGTTCAGTGCTAAGTAAAAGGCAACCAGCTGATAGTGATCAGTATTTAGTAGTGTAACTATAACAGTAGATAACTGAAGTGAGATAACTGTCACTAGTAAGGTCTGCAATCATTAACTCTTCAAGTGAGCAATATAGACTAATCACTATTGACTATTAAAGCTGCTAGATACATTCCCAGTGAAGACTACTTTCAGAAACTGCTTTACTCTTCAGTTTAAAGGATGATGTCAAATAAAAAATCATACGGATATTTCTTGAAAACACTGAGTCTACGTAATAATACACTATTCTCCATTATGGAAGAAGAAGGAGGAAAGAGCAGAAAAAATGGTTTCTTTAGACATAAAGTTATTTTGAGACACTCTGGAGTTTAAAAGAAAAAACCCAAAATAAAATAAAATGTTTGTTTATAATTACTGATACTAAGCTGTTAATAACACTGAAGGCTGAAGGCACGCATTTGTTGATGATTATGCCAATCTTTTTTTTTTCCTTGAGATGAGTCTCACTCTGTCACCCAGGCTGGAGTGTGGTGGCGCGACCTTGGCTCACTGTAACCTCCGCCTCCTGGGTTCAAGCAATTCTCCTGCTTCAGCCTCCCAAGTAGCTGGGACTATCAAACACCTACCACCACACCCAACAAATTTTTGTATTTTCAGTAGGGGTGGGGGTTTTCACCATGTTGGCCAGGCTGCTCTGACCTCAAATGATCCACCCACCTTGGCCTCCCACAGTGCTGAGAGATTATGCCAATCTTAAAGGATCTTATAACTTTTATTATTTTAATTTGGAGACACTGTACATTATGGTAATATTCTAATAAAAATTTTTAACAATAAAATATTTTTGGCATTTAATATACTGAAGTGTATTTTAGAAGATATTTGAAGAACTTAAAAAGAATTCTACAAAGGTTATGTTGCCTGACTGCCCTCTTCACCCCTCCCAGACAAGGAATAAACAAGGTGATGGAAAGATGGGGAAGCTGACAAAGCAGGATAAGAATGGGAATAATATTAATCCCATCTTGTAACTGCTTTAGATCAAAATAAGTATGACAGGATAATTAAACACATATTACTATAAGCAGGTCTCCTTTGGGTCTTAACAAAAAACTAGGTAGTTGACGGGGTGAAGAAGTTATTACAATGTTTAGGAAGCAGGAATTTGAAAAATAAGTACTGCCTAAACTAGGTTGTATTAATGGAAACATAGATGATGACAAAAGCTTTTCCTAAAAATGGTGGCAACATCATATCCATTCAATAAGACATTAAATATGATTTTATTATCTATGAAATATTTTGTTAGGTACTAGGGATACAGACATATTGCCATAGAAATCAAATCAAATGTAACAATGCCACTTTACATTTAACATGCTCGTACAAAAGACAAAAATAACTAATCTAAGTTAGGAGTAACAAATCTATACCTCTATCACACATTCAAAATTTATCAGCTTAAAATATATCCTAAAGAATGAGTATTTTCTATATGAACATCAGGAAAAATATTTAAAAGACGGAAATCTATGGCTCTTCAATTTTGGCCCTAGAAACTAACCATAAAAGTATCCCAGCAATATTCAGACTACTTCCTTTGCTTAGAAAATCATCAACACATTAAAATGTGATTTTCTGCGAATCTCCAAAGAAAATTCCAATATATACTACACAGGGTCAGTAATCTACAACTGTGCTTCATATACATGCAATTTTTAAAAATCCACAACTACCCAACTCTGCTATTGTAAACTGAGTAGCAAAAACCTAAAATAAAACTAAGATTAGAACATTATTTAAAAAAAAAAAGATATGGGTTCTAAGACATAAATAAATTAAGCCAAAAGAGGGCTAAAACATGGCATCCTGAAATGAATCTAAGCACTGAAATAATATTTTTTGATGAAAAGAACTGTTATAATTGCAGATACATTAAGTGTATATATACATAAATATGCACACATCATTCTAATACGCAGACACCCAGATAGCTTACTTATATACTAACATGACCATATCAGGTATATATATTTGCATTAAAAGTATACTATCAGAAATGCATTTTAGTGCTAAAAACATATTCATAGGCAATGATATTATTACATGTGAAAAAAACCTGGTGAAATAATATAGCAATTACTGACTAAAAGCTATATTCACTTCTGGATGTTCTTTAAGCAGTTGTAAAAGACTATTTGTTAGAACAAGAGTTTAGAAAGCAAGGCTAGTGTAAGCTGAGAGGGGAGGGAGAGAAAGATGGTCCAGATCAAAGGAACAAGAGGGTACCACTTTCCATCTTTCACCTGACTCTTCTAAAATTGTATAGCCATATTCTTTAGTTTATAAACATAAGCTACTCCCAAACTTTCACTAAAAAATTTTAAAGAAAATCTTTACCTAAAAGAAAACAAACCTGGTGTTAACCCCCACATTCTACAACTGCTTTTATATTAATAAGTAATTTTATAAAGGCATATTCAAGTTAAGTAAAAAAGGCTACTTATTAAGGCTGAAGTCTTAATTGGTTTTTTAAGGCTAATTGCCATAATCTAAAAATTAAAAGCTTCACTAAAAGAACACAAATATTAGCGACTCAGAAGGCAATCGTTTTTCATTTTTGTAAGACAAAATGAAATAAACAGTGAAAAAATGAATGTGGACGAAGACCAAATATATTATAACAACAGATTAGCCACAAGTTATTTTTTGAATAAAGAGTTCTTTATAATACTAATGTTTTCAAAGAGCTTTTCTTGGTAGACAAGCTACAACAGCATGTTATGAAAATAATAACCACATATTTTTTATATCTCCTAATACACTGCAGTGCTATACAATATAACTTTCTGCAATGATGCAAATGTTCTGTTTTGTCCAATATGGTAGCCAATAGCCACGTGACTATTGATGAATGAACTTCCAAATTTTAATTAATTTAAATTTAAATAGCCAAAAAAGGCTACCATCTTGGTCAACGCAATTCTAGATTTCATATACTTGGTTATAATCAGTATAAATCTAAATTCTTAATAATTCTCTTTCACAGAAGGAAAACTTAAAATAAAATAAACTCTTAGTTCTATTGCCTTCACTACACCTCAATATATTTAGACTGCATGAGTACTGTAGCTCATACCTGTAATCCCAGCACTCAGGGAGGCTGAGACAAGAGAATTGGTTAAGGCCAGGAGTTTGAGACCAGCCTGGTCAACAAAGCAAGATCCCATCTCTATTAAAAAAAAAAAGTTATTTGGAATAGTATAAAAAGGGATATAAAAGTATATCTTCTGCACAAAATGGCTAATATATTTTGGCATTTAAGACATTCTTCTCCCTTTGGAAATAATCTTACTCAGGTAACCAGAGAATTTAATTCAGCAACCATGCAAAAATAACACCAGCTCCCCCTGCCTCCCACAATTACAATTTAACCAAATTTAAAAAGTAAATACCATTCCCTATTACCTTTGCATAAACAAGGACAAAAATATGTTTTAAAAATATAAAACATATTTAACAAACCATCTCCCAAACAAAATGAAAAATAACCTTTTATATAACTTTCTAAACTATACAAACTACTCATCAATAATTAGCTCGGACACAGGTCTGTAGGAAAATAGTATTGTAAGACACTTTTAAACAGAGAGTTTTTAAAGACAGCTATTTAAATGCAGCATTCACTTGATCAACAAGCATATTTCAGAAATATAAGAAATAACTAAATAGAAAAATAACTTATCTCTGTGTAATCAAACAGCAGTAAAATTCATAACTATCCTGAGTAGTGGGTGAAAGGAAAAAAAAACGTTGGGAAAAAAAATTCATTGGAAACTTTAAAATCTATACTTCTAAATAAAATTTACTGTTGTTTAACATAAATGTTATATTTTCATGTAATAGCTAGTTTTTATAAATTTCTTAATACTTAGTAACTTTAACACTTAAAATCGATTATATTATAAATGACATCAGTAGAAGTATTCTTACCTTTATTTGACTTTGATGGTTTATTCTTGATAGGTTTAAGGGAACTTCTTGATTTGTCCTCTCTATCTTTAATGAGTTTCTGAACATCATCCAAAGACAATTTCTGCAGAACAACTACAGGCTTAGCTCCTTTATTGAGATCTTCAACTAATCCCATTTTTTCTACTTTGTCTTTCTGCTCTCCTTTCATTTCCATTTTCTTTGTCTCCTGAGTAATATTGCCATCTTTATCCCTCTTGATTTTCGGAATGACAAAATTTTTCAACGCACCAGACCTGCCCCCCAACAAATAACTTGGAAATTCTGCCTTATTGTCAGGGTGTGCTTTATTAGTGTCTACTTTGCTCTTGTTACTCTCTGTCCTTTTGTCATCTTTACTATTTGGTGATTTAAAACCAGGTTTATCAGATCTTGATTTATTAGAATCTCCTTGTTTAACACGAGGACTGTCAGGTCTTGATTTTAGTTCCCCAGAAGATGGTCTTTCCCTTGAGTCCCCTGATTCATGCCTGTGTTTTCGTTCTAGTTTATCAGTTTTTGAACTATCAGATTTAATGCCATGTTCATTTCTACTAGAGGACCTCAATGTTTCTGGTCTTCGAACCCTAGACTGATCCCCTCGATGTCGCTCTGATTCACTCCTGTCATCTGATTTTTGTTTATTATCATGGTCACGTCTTAGTGACTCAGAAATAGATCGCCCATCAGGTCTCTGCTTTAAGGCTTCAGCTCGTTCTGATTTTAACCGAGGTGAATCAGATTTAATATCTTGTTTATGTTTAGACACTTCAGGTTTTTTCTCTGTAGATGGCTTTCCAGAATCCCTCCTATTGTCATGCCTGTGTTTTGGTGTTTCAGGTCGCCCTTCATTTTTTTGCTTTGGAGTTTCAGGCCGGCTCTCACCTTTTTGCTTTGGAGTTTCAGGCCTTCCATCACCCTTCTGTTTTGGGGTTTCAGGATGTCCATCACTCTTTTGTTTTGGAGTCTCAGGCCGGCTTTCACCCTTTTGCTTTGGGGTTTCAGGCCTTGATTTTGTTGTTTCTGATCTGCCATTATTTTGTTTGTTGTCATTTGGTTTTGTGTCAGACAGTCTATTTTCATTTTGTTTAGGCTCAACTGTGGTGCTCTCATTTTGTTTGCATTCAGTTATTCTGCTCTCATTCTGTTTAAGTTCTTCTGTTTGAATTTCAACTTTAGCTTCTAACTTATTTTCACTTGATTTTGTCTCCACTAATCGGTTTTCATTTGGTTTAGATTCTGACAATTTACTTTCACTTTGTTTCATTTCACTCTTTGAAAGCTCAGGATCAGACTTTTTTTTAGGTGTCTCAGGATGGTTTTCTGGTGTAGGTTTAAGACTTCCAATAACATCTTCCTGAAGAACAGAAATAGGTGCATCATTACATTGCTTGATTTCTTCAGGCTTTTTTATGGAGTCTGAATCCTGAGTTATAGAAGCCTGAGAGTCCACTCTTCCTGCCTGATGAAGATCAATGCTAACCATTAATGCTGGCCTTGACCCATTTCCCGTAGAACCCGTCTCCTGAGAAGCTGGTCTATTACCTCCTGTAGCACCCCCAGCCTCCTGTGGGTAAGAATCTTGTTTTCTTTTTTTCAAAGGCTTATCTGAAATTTAAAGATAAATATTCAATATCAGTAATAGACATGTATTCTTATCTTATTAAAAACCCTATGGATGTTGTCTATTTTTCTAAGGTTATGTTTTTAAAATGGAGTAAATGCAAATGTAAATTTGCATATATATAAAATAGTAAGCATGAATGACCTAATACTTTGAAAACCAAGGTTTGAGGAAATACGCTTGAGAGATCTCAATAATTATAGTAAAAATAATTTAACAGCATACTCTTTATATAAATAAGTGTAAGAATATAAAATAAATAGAACTTATAATGTACCAAATACAAACATACAGTTATGTTCACAGAGGTTAAGAATAAATCAGATTCTTTACATAAGAATAAAGCAACAAGTTATAAATCATATAGTCTCACTCAGGTTAATTTTAACTGTTAGCCAAAAACTATAAAGAGCTCCAAATCTGTCAACACACCAAACAGGAAATATAAGCTTTTACTATATCTAAGATAAGTATGAAAAAAAATGAAACCTGAAAGAAAATAGATACCATGCCATTAGGAAAAAAATGAGTTAAAAAAAGAATTTAATAATTTGTCATTTAACTTTAATCAAGAATTCAAATTCTTTAAAGTGTTAAAAGTGTGAAAGGAGTTTAAAAACTAATCACAATGTTAGATAGAAGTAAATTTAAAATAAGGAAGCAATAGGTATAAATTAGAATCCTGTCTTAAGCAACTGCCAATGAAGAAAACTGTTCCTACTCTTCAACATAAAGTTATAAAGGTCTAGAAGTCTATTCTGGCCTCAGAAAGAAATAATTTACAGTATTATAAAATGAAAAGACAAACAAACACAAATTCACCACTGTAATAAAATGTCAAGGTATTTTTAACATCTATATATTTCTGTGCATGATTCCATCTGTGACCTAAGAGGGTGCTATGTCATTTTTTATAAATTAAATCTCCAGTTAGGTCTTGAGAATGGCTATATTATAGCACCTTGGGGACTGGCTTGCTTTTGTTTGGCTATGTCTTAAAAGTCACTCTTAGTTATTTTAACAAGACACTCTCTAGATTCTCTCGTAATATTTGCTAATGTGATGTATCATATAAGGAAAACGGTATCACAAGATTAAAAGTCAAACTGGCAACTGAAAAACAGCTCCTTATTGTTAAAGAACCAAGTTGTGAATTTTTTTTCTCCTAATGGTAATGTTTCTTTTATATAGCAAAGTTCCACTGTTTTCTACTTAAAGTGGGAAGTAGCAGTTCTTACCAGTTTAAAATCTAATCAAATGTAATTGTAACTTACTTAAGATATTTGTTAATTATATTATGTAAAACTAAGTCCTTCTGCTCCTTCAGTTAATTCAGTCAATTCAGTCAAATCTATCACCACACATGCTCCATTTGCAAAACACCACCATAATAATTCTAAAGTATAATATATTATCATTAGATTGTTTCCCCTAGTTAAAACTAACATGGTAAAAATTTATATGAAGCTTTCTACATCAATACCTTAAAAGCAGCACTCAGAATACTAAATTTATGTTTATGGAATCCTCCTTTAGAATGTTCTGCCATACAAATCATCTTTATGTTTTGCCATAGAGCATGCCAAGTGGTATCACATGAATAAGATGCTTTATCAATTTATACTTATCCCTTAAAATTTTATAAGAATCTAGAAATTCAAACAGTATAACCTAAGATTTCTATATTTTCAATGAAACATACTTTGTAAAAGAATTAAAATGGTAGCCTAATCATACTTAAGAAGTACAATGGTCTCATGCATCTGAAGATTTAAGAGATCTCTGGCTCACTCTTTGATTAATATGAGCAATTGGTCTTCAGAAAAACATTAATATAGCACAGAGGGCTGTTTTTTAAAGCATTATAAAATACTCAAGAGATTATACATCATTAACCTCAATCCAATTTACCTTAAGTCACTAAAACAAAAATTTAGCAAATAAAGTAAGCTAATTTCAAAGAAATGATATATTTTATATAAACTATGAATCCTATGATTATAATAAAAAATGTATGAAAGCATATGCACATAAATAATTAAGATTGGGAAACATCTTACCATTTTTTTTCACAATAAATAAAATACTATTAAATACAAAATTTTAATTGTTCAACTATTGAAAAGTATTTTACTCCTGTAAAACCTGGAAAATTTTCATTACTGTGGCAGAGATTCTTAGATATGTTAAGAGCATGCATGTTTTGATTCACTTGGTCTGATTCACTTCCACCATGAACTTACTCCTTGTAAAGCGGCTCTGAATCTGTACAGGTCACTTTTGTCCACCCACTTTTGTTATGAGTCTTCATTACAGCATAACCACCTAATAATCATGGAAAGCCATCTCTATGAAGAATCATTTTGATATTTAGGACAGTGATTACCTTTAAGCCCTCTTCAGCACTGGGAATCATAAGATTAGCTATCAGAATACATATATTCCTAAAGAAAATGCATACAAAAGGATTATCGTAATCTCAAAACCAACACTTGTCATCCAGATGTTGATATTCTCAAAATAAGATCCAGCCCTTTCAGAAATTCTGAACTCAGTTATGCTTACAAGAAAACAAACTATACCACTTACTTAAATCCACAAGTGATAAATGAAAACACTTAAGGCAGAAAGCACAATAATTGTGTATACATAGTAGCCAATTAGGTACAATGAAAACATACCAACCCCTCACCCACAATACAGGCTGAGTGGCTAATTGTCCTATTCCTTGAACCAAATCCCAGTCTCTTATTCCAAATGAGAGTAGGTAATCATTGACTTTTAATAAGAGATATAGTGCAAGAATTCTGTAACATTATAAAAACATTAGTGAAGCTGAGCCATTCCTTATACTTGCTAACATGGAAAGTGGACCTTGGGAAAAGATGAAATAGGCAAAGATGAACAAAGAAACCCCCTCTTTGACAAAAGAAAGCAGAAATTTTCAGCACACAGAAAGGTATTAATATCTAATGATAGGTCATCCCAGAAGCAAAGATGAATAGCCTTTTAAAATTAATTTATGTAATTAGAGATGCTAAAAGTATGAGCAAAAAGATTGAGAAAAGGGTCCTTTTGGAATATTATAAAATATTAGGTTACAAAGTTGCCTTATCAGTGTATACATAGCACTGCTCAAAGAAGAGAGAACAGGACAAAGGGACGTAAATACCTAACAGCTACAAAAACGGGTTTCTTGTGCACAAGAAGGGTACAATAAGGTTTTACCACAGCCAAGATAACACATTTCTTAAGGCGATTCTATCTCTTTACTTCAATTCACAAATATACTACATTTGTTGAACTTTCTAATCTTATTTATCAGGTACAGTGTTTTTGATTCCTGGTTATTGAGTGGAATATTTTTCTCACAGTAAATGAATATACTGGCAAACAAATTCATACCCTAAAGTAAAACTAGTAGGCCAAACAATCCTACCTGCTACATATCACCAGTAATGCAATAGTAGTAAAAAAGTTCTCAGTGCCAAATGTTAGAATACATTAAATGCCAATTTTAACATTTAATCTTTAATGAGTAAAATTAATGGTAACTAGGGACAAATTAATTTCAAGGAAGTATTTAATCTCTTAAGGGCTAATTATAAAATCACTTCAGAAGAATTTTGCTTTTATTTATGACCCCACCTACACCGTTGGACCAATATACACATCTTTAATCATCTAAAAATCTCAGGGTAACTTCTTATATAACAAATACCTCCCCATCACACAATGCAGAGACTGAATGCAATATGCCAAGCTTCAAATCAAAAGGGTTAGGTGGCATCTAAGTTCCAAAAGTTTTCAAATACAGTCATGTATTGCTTAACAACAGGATACATTCTGAGAGATGCAGTGTCAGGACATTTCTTTGTTATGTGAACATCATATAGTGTATTCACATAAACCAAGATGATATAGCCTACTATGTACCCAGACTATATGGTATAGCTTATTGCTCCCAGGCTACAAACCTGTACAGCATGTTACAGTACTGAATACTATAGGTAACTGTAACACAATGATAAGCATTTGTGTATCTTAAACATATCTAAACATAGAAAAGGTAGAGTTAATAAACAGTATTATATTCTTATGGGACCACCATTGTATATGAAGTCTGGTGTGAACTGAAACATCATTATGTGGTACATGACTATAAATCCATGAAATAAGAAGAAAATGGCTTTCAGAAAACAAATTAGAAATGACAGCACTAATATGAAATCAGTAAAACCTACTTTAATCCTTATATCATCACATACCTGTATTTTCACCAAAATTAAATGTCAACTCTGCTCATTTAACTTTTCCATTATGTGTAGCTATGTCATCACAGATTATAGAGAAAACTATTTAGATAATTGAAAGTAAAATACACAAGTTTCTACAAGAACAGTATGTTGTATCTGTTGACTTTGTTCTATTTTTCCAAAGGAAAGTTAGTAGTATAAAATAAGTTTGCTGATACACAATTAGACCTATATATGACCCTTATTTTAATTCCAATTATAAAAGTAGAAACTTTGGATTCAACAAATATATTTTAAAAAAAGGTTATCCTTTCCTCCTCTGTTTTTGTTCCTATCACCAACAACTAAAATTCACTTTAAAAGTATACTGTTTTTTTAAGAACACATTTTTCCATAATACAGATTTAACATTATGCAAAAATTCAGTTACAGGGCAACTAATATTTCTTGGTCAGGGAATTGTAATACTGTATGTTTCTTGAAAAACTGCCTATCTTAAGATTCAGGAATTTTGAACAGGTTAATAAAAAAAGCTGAGTAATATTACTTTTTTCATTTGACATGCATATACTTTTATAATAGGTTAGAGGAAGATATATAATTTAGTACCTATGTATTTATTTCCCGAACCTTATACTGCAAACTAAAGAGAAAAGGTACAAGCAACATTTCATCCTTAATATCGAAACTTTACTAGTTAAAAAAAAAAAAAATTCCAGAGTCCTAGCTGGGGCAATCAGGCAAGACAAAGGAATAAAAGGCATTCAGATAGGAAAAGAGGAAGTCAAACTATCTCTGTTCACTGATGACATGATCCCATACTTAGAAAACCCTAAAGATTTCTCCAAAAGACTCGCAGACCTGATAACTTCAATGAGGTTTTAGGATACAGAATAAATGTATAAAAAATCAGTAGCATTTCTAAACACCAATAACATTTGAATTGAGAACCAAATCAAGAACTCAATCTCATTTACAACAGCCACACACACGAAATAAAATATCTAGAAATACATTTAACCAAGGAGGTGCAAGATCTTTACAAGGACAACTACAAAACATTGATAAAAGAAATCAGAGATAACATAAACAAATCAAAAAACATTACATACTCATGGATAGGAAGAATCAATATTGTTAAAATGACAATACTGCCCAAAGTAATCTACAGATTCAACACTATTACTATCAAACTATCAACGTTATTTTTCAAAGAATTAGAAAACCTATCCTAAAATTTATATAAAACCAAAAAAGAACCTGAATAGTCAAAGGAATTCTAAGCAAAAAGAACAAAGCTGGTGGTATCACATTAGGAAACTTCAAATGATACTACAAGACTACAATAAGCAAAGCAGCATGGTATTTATATAAAAATAGGCACACAGATCAACGGAACAGAATGGAGAACCCAGAAATAAAGCCACATACCTAAAAACAACTTATCTTTCACAAAGTTGACAAAAATAGAGAAAGGACACTCTATTCAAGAAATGGTGCTGGGAAAACTGGCTAACTATCTACAGAAGAATAAAATGGGACTCCTGCCTCTCACCTATACAAAAATTAACTTAAGATAAATTAAAGATTTAAGTGTAAGACCTCAAACTATAAAAATCCTAGAAGAAAATCTGCAAAAAATTCTTTTGGGACACTGTCCTAATTAAAGAATTTATGACTAAGATTTTAAAAGCAAATACAACAAAAACAAAAATTGACAAATGGGACTTAATTCAACTAAAGAGCTCTGTACAGCAAAAGAAACCATGACAGGGTAAACAGACAACCTACAGAACGGGAGAAAAAATTTACAAACTACGCATCCAACAAAGGTCTAATACCAAGAATCTATAAGGAACTCAAACAAATCAACAAGAAGAAAGAACAACAAAAAATAACCCATTAAAAAGTGGGCAAAAGACGTGAACAGGCACTTCTTGAAAGAAGATGTACATGCAGATGTACATGCAGCCAACAAACATTTAAAAACATACTTATCATCATTAATCATCAGAGAAATGCAAATTAAACCACAATGAGATACAATCTTACACCAGTCAGAATGGCTACTATTAAAAAGTCAAAATATAATAGATTGCACACCAGTCAGAATGGCTATTATTACAAAGTCAAAAAATAACGGAGATTGCAGAGAAAAGGAACACTTATACACTGTTGGTGGGAATGTAAATTAGTTCAACCCTCATGAAAAACATTATGGAGATTTCTCAAACAACTAAAAACAGAACTACCATTTGGCCTAGTAATCCCACTGCTGGGTTTCTATCCAAAGGGAAAAAAATCACTTTATCAAAAAGACACCTGCTCTCATATGTTTATCACGGCACTATTCACAACAGCAAAGTCATGGAATCAACCTAAGTGTCCATCAGGAGTGGACTGGATAAACAAAATGTAGTACATATATCAAATGTATTATATATACACAATCATAAAGAAAAATGAAACCATGTCCTCTGCAGCAACATGGATACAGTTTGAGCCCATTTTCCTAAGTGAAATAATGCAGAAACAGAAAATGAAACACTGCAGGTTCTTACTTATAAGTGGTAATTAAACAATGGGTACACATGGATATAAAGTTGGAAACAACAGACACAGGGGACTCCAAAATGGGGGAAAGAGGGAGGGAGCCAAGGGCTGAAAAACTATCTAATGGGTACTATGATCACTATTTGGGTGATGGGTTCACTAGAAGCCCAAACACCACTGTCACACAACATACCCACATAACAAACCTGCACATGTACTCTTTCAATCTATATTTTAAAACCAAAAAAAAAAGACAATGAAAAAAAAAAATCCCAGCTCTCTTGCCAATAAAATGAAGACTTCTAGTAATCTCTTTATTTGCACCTCTTTCTGATTTACACATACTGCAAACATTATAGTACAGTCCATTTTCTTCAATAACATTAAAATGAGCCATCACAACAGGCAGGTGATATAATACTAATCTTCAGCCTATTTCTTAGCATAGAAATACAATTATCTAGTGATGATCCTGTCAAACACTGAAGAGATCATATTTAAAAATCACCTCTACCCAATATCAAGAAGTTTAGTTTTATCATTACTAAGAAATAAAATATAAAAACTGAAAATCAACCTAGAATATTTTAATCATACAATTAAATCATAAGGCATGCTTTTGGTTTGATCAAATGTGTATATGTACTTGTATAGCAATCAAATTCATTAATTATATTGCTAATTTGAATCACTAATTCATCAGTCTCTTAAAATATTCAAGACATTTTATATTTTATATAAAGTGTAAACCAAATTATTAAGAACTTACTAAGGATTTATTCTTATTTGATTATGAAGCACAAAGAAAGCTTAGAAACACATAGACCAGGTATGTCTTGAAACTCCATCCTAACAAACCAGTCAGATAAAAGGGAACGCTTCACTGTAATTACCACCAAAAGACCCTTAATTTCTAAGGTTTGCTATTTAATATTAACTCTTTCCATGATTTGTTTACTAAAAAAAAATTGACACTATTAAGGCAGTAGGATCATAAGCCAAGTGAAATATCTAACTGCCTAACAAGCATACAAATAAGCTTTTCTTAAATGTACCTGTTCAAAATAATTCTATAGTGGTTAACCTTGTTGTAGCAGAAAAAAATTGAAGGTGCACAATAATATCAATGTAACTTGTGAAATATACATGTGATATAGAAATTCTAATGTTCATTTTAGCAGAAACGCACAAATATGTAAAATCATATAGGATATAATCAGTAATAGACCTGCAGTAGAGAATTACCAAATCTCACACAGTTTCAGACAAGAAATGAAATTGTTACCAATTTAACTTCTGTAGTATGAGTATTAGTAATAAAAAATATACTTGAATAGACATAAATTATACAAAATATGAGGAAAAAAAGTAATGTGAAAAAAGTTTTTTACACTGTAATTACATATTTGCCCATATGATGAAGTGGTAATAATGAGATTATTTTACCTTTATCTTGAACTTCTTTTGAGAAGCGCTCCCTTTCAATAGCTGATTCTCTTTCTATTCGCTCAATTTCAGCCAATGCATCCAATTCCACTTCATCATATATAGGTCCCTGTTGTGATACCTGTTGTTGATTCTGTACCACAGAAGTCTGGGGTTGTTTTGTAGCAACTGAAGTGTTCTGTTGTAAAACAGGCACTTGATTTGCTGGAAGGAATGCTGTTTGTTCTTGCTGCGACAAACACTGAGCAGCATTTAGTGGGCGGTTTACATCCTGTGGAGTAATGGGTGTTTTTGAAGTCTGTCCTGGGTACTGCACATTAAAAGGAATATCATTTTCTGAAACATTGCTATTTTCCATACCAGAAGTCATATCCTCTTGCTGGTCCATGTCTGAAGACCTTACACGAGAAAGTCTTAATGTAAGTTTAGTAGAGTCCTTGGATGGAGAACTAATTATATCATACATTGCCGCTTTCTCACTCTGCTCTTTTTCATCCTTGCCTAATTTCATTTTCTTTTGCTTCTTTTGTTTTCTTTCTGGAGAATCTAGCAAGATGTCTGGTGGAACATCTCGAGGTGATGAACAAGGTAGAGACTGAGATTGTAGGATTAAAGGCGGTCTTGATCCTAGAAAAAGAATTTGATAGAAATAAACTGTTGTGCTGATTTCACATTTTCTTAGTGTGATAGAAATATTAGTAAGTGACAATATAGTAATGCTAGAAAAAATAATAAATTATATAATCCAAGCCACTTATTTACAAAAGATGAAAATAAAGCCTAAAGACTTGTCCCACACAGTTGTTTAGCTTGCTGGTAGATTATCTAAAATCGAGGTTTGAATCTGAGTATTCAATTTTTCAGACCAGTATTATTTCTATATTTTTGTGCCTATAATGTATAAATATTTAGCTTCATAAGAACAAAAAGTTCATTGTTTCTAAAGATGATACAACACAAATATTTTGAGCTTGATCATTTCTGTTCTTTCATGGCTTACCTAGGAAAACGGATATATCCTGATTATCCACAGTAAGAATAAGTGAGCCTTTGTCAAATTACATAAAAATAACAATTTAATCTGAGAGACTATCTCACATGAATACTACTGAGATGATAACAAAAAGCAAGCCAGCAATTTACAATTACGAGAGCCTTTACTTCAAAAACTGGTGGTAAAGTATTGATTTATACTTTTATGTTGTCTTCTCTTTCTCCCTTTACTAACATCATTCACATACTCTCTTTAGCTTGCTAATCCTCTTTTAATTAGAAAAACACATATGTTCAGCAAATTTCAAGGCCCAATAAAACATCTTAAGCCCGGAGTCCATTAAATCAACTAATGTTATATGAAACAGGAAAGTGTTAAAAATAAGGTAATCAGATGGAAAAATTCTCCTAGTTAAATAAGGCTTTGGACAAAATTCTCCTTCAGACATGAAGAAAAAGTGCATTGATATGCTTCAGAAATAATAATATAACTGCATCTGAATAATGTATACATTTTGTATCATCAGACTATAAAATATTAAAAAACTTGTAGGGAATTGTAGAAATTGGTCAAGATAAAGTTTTTTACATACAGAACTTAAACCTAGAACTGCTTTAAATTAAGCTTTCAGTGCTTTTATACTTTTTCCATGATACATAAATCTGGACTTTCAATTAGCAAGGTTTATGTATTTTAAATGTTATTTATAAACATGCAACTTTATTTATTGAATTAAGTGTGATAAAGACGATATGGGGGCAGTTAACCATAAATGTCAGCCTGAAGTCATATTGATCATTGGTTTTTCTCTTTAGACTGAACCTATATGAGACATTAAAAAGAAATGAACATTTTGTGTCAGAATTATGAAAGGTGCTTTACATCAATTCACCTGATTTTTACAGTATTCTTAAGTATTACCACTAAAATTTTTCAGAAATGGAACATGAAACCTATAGAGGTTAAGAAATTTGCCCAAGGTTATGTAGTTAACAAACTGAAGATTTGAAAGAAGATGTGTCTAAGTCTGATCTGTAATATAAAATTATGCCTTTGTATTTAAATTCTATGTGGCAAATTATATATACTTTAGAACAAACTTCAAATTCTAACAATCTAAAAATCAAGGTAGACTGAAATTAACTTACCCTTCAAAACTTACAACTTCATGACAGAAGTTCAAGCTTTTGATAAATAATATATTGATGAGGTTATTTGTTTTAAAGTTTTACCTAAAGTTTATCTACTATCTGTCTAATCTCAAGAGTCAGAAGAAAAAAAGCTGGTTATCTAGATCAATTATCTATTTCCTTGTTCTCTTTCCTGGGCAATCTAAATAACTTCTCACCCTGACAACACTTGTGGGATACATATCTAACCTACAAATAGTTACTCTGCAAGTTTTTCTCTCTTTCAGAAGCTGGGTTTTATCCCCCAAAATCCATACAATTTACAGAACTGAAATGGCTCATACCAGCTCAACTTTCACCCTATGAAAAATGTCCTTGACAGAAAATCAGACACCCCATGTTCTCACTCATAAGTGGGAGCTGAACAATGAGAACACATGTGGACACAGGGAGGGGAACATCACACTTCAGGGCCTGTTGGGGGTGGGGGGCCAAGGAAGGGAGAGCACTAGGACAAACACCTAACGCATGCGGGGCTTAAAACCTATATGACAGGTTGACAGGCGCAGCAAACCACCATGGCACATGTATACTTATGTTAACAAACCTGCACATTCTGCACATATATCCAGAACTTGAAGTAAAATAAAATAAAATAAAATATCCGGAAAAAAAAAAAGAAGAATGTCCTTGATAAATAAGAATACAATCAGTAAAAAAAAAGATCTTTACCATATGACACAGATATGAGGTAAAATATCTTTACGTTTTAGATGGCTATCATCAGAAATTCTCATGAATTGAGAGAATATATTACTAGCTATGTTAAAATTAATTATAAGCTAATTTTAAAAAGTAGAATGCAGTATTTTCTTCCAATAAACTGAAAATTAAACCTATCCAACTACAATTTTAAGTATTTTAAAAACTGGCTCAAACCTGAACCTAAATTTATAATTTTGTGAATATGTTACAGACAGAATACCATGCAAGATTCTTTGAGAATTCAAAGACAAACTAAAATTCGTGTACATAAAGTAATATAAGTTCTAATTTTAGTGTATGTGCTACTGAAGCAAGCACAAGCAATATAAGTTCTTAGAAAAACTATAAACTAATAGCTTGAGGAGATTAGGGGAGGGCCCATGGTAGATCACCCATTTAACTTAGACCTAGAATAACAGATAAGAATTTTTAAAAGCAGAGATAAAAATAGATGTGAGACACTGAAGAACGTTAACATAGAACAGGTGAGATTTGATAAATGACTAAAGAATTGAAAAGAGACTTTTTAAGGACTTAAAATTTTTAAGTTACAATTGTAGGATTGGAATAGCATTAAGAGAGATGGGATAGCAGAAAGAACAGTGAAAACCATTTTGAACATGAATTTTAAGTTTCTGCTAGGTATGAAGGAAGTTTTGTCCGGTAATGACTAATTAAACTTGGAAGACAAGACTGGAGCCAAAGATTGATTTAGGAGTCTTGCACACAAAAGTAATCAATGTTGTTACTGAAACTTAACAAAATAGCCAGGGAAAAAAGTACCATGGGGCAATAAAAGGTCTAATAATAGAAATCTTGAGAAGAATAGGGAGAAGAACTAATGAAGAAAAAAAGAAGTATCAATGAAAGAAGTAGGAGAAAAACAGATGGGCCATATGAATTAAGTCTTATTGGAGGAAAGAAGAAGTCTGATCAAAAATTTCAAATGTTTTAGAGAAGTTAAGAAGGTTGTGTTAAGAAGGCTGTGGTTTGAAAGGACCACTGGATTTATCAAAGAGAAGAGATAGTGGATGTATCTGAGAATATTATCAATAGATTACTGGAATTTAAAGTAAGTGGAAGATGAATGAATCAATGAGTAGGGACAGATTTAAATACCATGATCAAGATAGGTTTATTTTTTTCTACAATAAAAAAGAATACAGAGTAACTTTTTGATATCTGCTTTAGGAAGTCTTGAGCTCTTTATCAAACCTGAAATATAAAATATACAGAAGGAAATTTTAGTTACAATAATACCTTTAGGAGTTCCATCACTTCCAGCAGGGGAGCAAACTGGCTGTGGAGACCTCAAGGGAAAAGATGCAGCATTCCTCATTGTTGAAGAATCTCCATCCTAAAAATAGAGTATACAATTTATATTTTGAATGATGGGAGAGGCTTTTAGAAATCTTAAAGAGAACCAATAAGAGACATAAATTACTGACAGGTAAAGTGTTGGAATTCAAAAGCATAATTCTTCTGCACTTTCCTGTTTTCTTCTTGGTATATCTTAGAAGAATTGAAATTGTATCCAAAAGAATCAACAGCCTAAGCATGGCAATGAATAAGAAAATTCGTATTACTAGTATGCTCCGTTTTTGTTTGCTTTTTTCTACAAAAGGAGCTATGAATATTCTACCAGGTGGTAAATGTCTTGTGGGCAGAGTTTACTGACATCTGTGTTATGCTTAGACACATGCAGCTTTCATAAACTACAACCAAATCAATAACAAGGCAAATTTCCAGAATGTGGAATATTTTAGTAACATCAAGGCAACATTAAATTTCAGACAAAAAACTCTGTACAAGTATTAGAAGAAAAAAGAGTCAAGTACTAAGAAGTAAAGGCTCATTATCTTAAAAAAAAAATATTTTGGTGTGAGTAGTATTAACTTAAAACTGAAATTTTTCATTAAGAACCTAAACCTCGAGACCAGGGGTCAGCCAACTTTTTAAAATAAAGGAACAGAGAATAAATATTTTAGGCTCTGTCACATATTGTTTTTTTTTTTTAGTTAACTCTTTATAAATGTAAAGACCATTTTCACTCTGTGGTTCAGGTCATGGTTTACCAATCCTACTCTAGACTAAGTTCTGTATGTGCAGGAGCCATGTTGTACTCAGTACCTAGTATAATCATTGATATATGGTAGGTATCATTAAAATTATGAAATGGAAATACTAGGTTATATGACAGATATTAGAACTATTTTATTACCTTAATGATAATATATTACATACGTCACTACTTAGCCTGTGCACCATGTGTAGGTAGTCCTCACTTGAGCCATGTCTAGGATTATCAGCATGATGATTAGCTGAATTGCCAGACAACGGGCCAGAAACTTTATTATCATGTATGTTTCTCAAACCACCTGCAACAATGGGACTTGATACCGATGCTGAAATTAATAAGAATAAAATAGATTTATTAAAAAATTCTTAACATTCTTGGAGAATAATTATTCACAAATATTTTAAGCACATGTATATTCTCTGATATAGAAATTTCTAGAAATTACAGAGAATATAACAGAGACTCATGTACTACATAGTATGTTCAAATCTTAACACTTTGTCAGATTCCGATCTATTTTTGAAAAGAACTAAAACATTACAAAGGTTGAAGATCTCCATCTATCTGCTATTTCTCTCCTCTATTCATTTCCTTTTACTGCCTAGAGGTAACCACCATTTTGACCTGAATTTATTCTGCCCATGTGTACTTTTATACCTTTGCCATGCATGAATATATTCCCAAGTAATTCACTGTGTTGTTTTTACATTATAACTTTATATAGATGATACATGTTTCTATCCTTCTATAACTTGTTTTTTCCATTTAATATTATATTGAGATTTTCTATTTATATATATATATAGTTTTAAATTTTTATTATTTTTTTAAGACAGCTCTGTTGCCCAGGCTGGAGTACACTGGCATGATCACAGCTCACTGTAACCTCAAACTCTTTGGTTCAAGTGATCCTCTTGCCTTAGCCTTCTGAGTAGCTAGGACCAGAAACCTGCCACCACACCTGGCTCTTTCTTTTCTCAGTAGAGATGGGGTCTTGCCATGTTGCCCAGGCTGGTCTCAAATTCCTGGCTTCCAGTGATCCTTCTGCCTTATTCTCCCAAAGACCTGGGATTACAGGTAGGTATGAGCCACCATGCCTGGCCTAAATTCATTTATCTTAAATAATTACATATACTCTGCTATATGATGTACACTGTTTATTTTATTCATTCTTATGTGGATGTTCAAATTCCTTAAAATGCTTGGTGCCATAAACAATGCTGCAATGCATGTTCTTTTACATGAGAATTCTTTTATAAATGTGTAGGAGTTCTAGGTACCAATATCTAGGAATGAAATTGCTGGATATGCGTATTTTTAAACCTTACTAAGTAACAGATTACTTATGACCATTTGTATTCATTGGTAGTGTAAGAGAGTTCTATATCCTTGCCAATAATTTTTATCATTCTAAGGATAGGAAATGTTTCTGATAGTCACTTTAATTTGCATTTCCTTGATTACTAGTGAAGCCAAGCATCTTCTCTTGTGTACTGGCCATTCAGATTCCCTCCTTTATACAAGGTCATAAAAGTACAGCCTTCTATATCTTCTAAAAATCTTACAGTTTTGGTTTTTCAGTTAGATCTTTAACCCATGTAAAACTTATTTTTAAGTGTAGTGTGAGATAGGGATCCAACATTACTTGCTTCCATATGAATAACTGGTTGTCTCTGCACCATTAATTAAAGAAATCATTCTTTCTCCCATTAAGATATAATGCCATATGTACCAAGTTTCCCTTTGTCCATGGCTATGTTCCTAGGCTCTTCTTCATGTTCTACTTACTATCTGTTGTTTTGCCATGCCTGCACCAAGATTACAATAAATCTTGATTGCTGTTAGACTGAACTGCTACACTTCATTCCTTATCAGAATTATTTTGTCTATTCTTGGGACTACTTCTTCCATCTGAATTTTTAGAAGCAGGTTACATTTCACAAAAACCTTTCTTGAGATTTGATTTTTATCAGTGTCATACTGAATTTATAGATATGGGTGTAATAATAATCTTTACCCTATTGAGTATTCCTATCCATGAAGATGGCAAAACTCTTCATTTTATTATGTTTTCTTCTCTTTCAAAAGTTTCATAATTTGCTCCACAAAAGTCTTTTACATATTCCATTAAATTTATTCCTAGGTATCTTGTGGTGTTCCATTAAATTGTTAATGATATAAAAAAAGAATACAGTTATACCTGTTTATTTCTGGTACATAAAAATGCAATTAATTTCATTATAATGATGCTGTATCCAGTAACTAAGTAGAATGCTTTTAGTATCGTGTCTGTAGCTTATCTTGGATTTTCTATGAAGACAATTATATCACCTGAAAATGACACTTTTTTCTTCCTTACCAATAATTATATATAGTTTAATGCTTATCTTCCTGTACTGGCTGGGACATTCACTGAATAAATATGATTATAGGCATTCATATCCTATTCCTGAATTGAAACAAAATGTTTCTAATTTTTTCTACCACTAGGTAAGATTATATCAATCTCTTCTCTCCCCACCAACCCCACAGACCGGGTCTTGCTGTATTGCATAGGCTAGACACAAATTCCTGGGTTCAAGTGATCCTCCTGCCTTGGCCACTTGAGTAGCTAGGACTACAGATGTGCACCATCACACCCAGCTTAATGTATTCTTATTCAGTGAAAGTTTTAAATGTCATGAATAGAAATTGAATTTTTCTGAATGCTCTTTTGGCACTTATTAAAAGATTCACGGGACCCCCAGCCCCATAATCTGAACATATGAATTGTCTTCTACTAACCAATTAATGTATTCCTGACATCTATATATCCAATTTTGTCATATAGGTTGATAACACTGTTTACTTTGTTTCTTTATTTTTGAGTCTCCTCTGTTGCCCAGGCTACAGTGCAGTAGCATGATCTTGGCTCATTGCAACCTCTGCCTCCCAGGCTCAAGCCATACTCCCATCTCCCAAGTAGCTGGGACTGCAGGCACGCACCACCATGTCTGGCTAATTTTTTGTAGAGAGAGATGAGATTTCACCATCTTGCCCAGGTTGGTCTTGAATTCCTGAGGTCAAGCAATCTGCCCATTCTGGCCTCCCAAAGTGCTAGGATTATAGGAGTGAGCAACCATGCCTGGACTGTTTCTAATATTTGTTTGGAAATTGTTTCCATATTCACATATGATGATTGATTTGTAATTTCATACTCCCTTTCTCATACTCCCCTTACTTCACCTGATTTTGGTATCCAGATTGTAATCTAACTTTATAAAAAGAGTTGGGAAAGTGTTGCTGTTTTTCTTTTTTCTGGAATGAATTATGATTAGAATATCTCTTCATTTACTGTTTAGTAGAACTTGTTAAAACAGTCTGAGTGTTTTTATCCCTTTTCCTTTCTTTTAAGGGACGTAGATTTTGAATTACTGACTGAAGCATATGAATTTTAAACTTTATGACAGCATCAAAGAAACAGCTCTCTAAAAAAATTGCACCAATTTATATCACTATGAAGACTGCAATGTTTATCAATCTGATATAAAATTTTATTTCATCTTAATCTTGAATGCATCTCTTTGTGAGCTGAGGTGACAATAATTTAATATATTTATTAAATCTTTCTGTATCTATTTGGCTATTCTTTTCCAGTTAATTGCCTGTTTACTTCTTCAGTTCATTTTTGTCTTGTTCTTATCGATCTGTATGAGATTTCAGTATATTAAAAAAATCAGTACTCTGTGTTATGTGTTTCCCCCATATTTATATATTTATGTAGTTTATATATTTACATTCTCTTATACATGACTTTATAATTAATCTTTTAAAAAAATTTCTACAATCCAGGTTTTCAGTCTGCTTAGAAATAATGCCTTCTCAACTCCTAGAATACCAAAAATTTGTCTATATGTTTTTCTTATAATTTTAAGACTTAAAAAAATATAAACAGCTTATTAATCTATAATGCTTTTGCTCTAGGAGATCCAGGAATCCAGATGAAATAGCAAACTACCTAGACAATCACCAACGTCATTTATTAAACAATCTATTCTTATGTAATTTTAAAATGTCATCTTTAGAATGCTAAAAATTTTTTTAAAATCATCATTTTTCCAATGACTATGTAAAAACTGATAAAATGAGACTCACGGAATGTACCCCCTTTAAGTAAAAGATTAATGGGAATTCATATATTTACATGATCTCAAAGCATCATCCCACAGATTATTTACTAATTGCAAAGGGAAAAATACGTACTTTTACAATAAAGAGATCAGATGTTCACCACCTAAACACCACTGATACTAAGACCATTATGTGATAATGATAAGATACAATGCAAAATGCACAACATTGCTTATCAAGTACTCTTGTCAAAATGTATACCTCGAAACTAGTAAAACCTTTAAAACTAACTTCTAGTTGATAGGAAATACAGAAAACAAATTAAACACCACTATCCGCAAAGAGTAGAATTTAGAATATGAAATATTCTACCACCAAAGTGGCACAAACTCTTCAAAAGCAAAAATTAGTATCATGGGGGAAGAAGGTATAAGACTGCTTTAGGTTAAAAGAGCCATAAGAGATGCAAAAATCTAATGCAACATGTGAAAAGCTAGGTTTGAACATGCTTTGAAAAGATATTAAAAACATATTTAGGACAACTGGACTGGTAAAAGTCTAATGTAGTCCAGATATTAGATGATACTGGCCTTAATTTTTTACAATTATTACCTCTGGTTTTTATATAGCACAATATATTTCTTAACAGATATATTTAAGGACAAAGTGGCAGAATACTTGTTGGTGAAGGGGTTCATTGTGCTAATCTTAGAACGTTTCTGCACAGCTAAGTTTTGTAATTAAAGTTGAAAAAAAATTCTACCTTCCTCAATAGTCTAAATTGTCTTACTTCTGCATTCTCTTCTGTCCTACTGAACTATCCCCTTGTTCTTTGCCAGACTAATTTTTTTTCTTTTCAAAAAAATTATGTTTTATTATTGATACATAATAGAGGCACGTATTTCTGGGATATATGTGATAATTAAATACATTCATATAATTTGTAAAGACTGCATCAGTGTAATTGAGATATCCACTACCTTAAATATTTGTCTTTTCTTTATGGTAAAAATATTCAAATTATCTTCTTCCAGCTATTTTGAAATATAAAATAGATTGCTGTAAGCTACACTCACCCTACTGAGCTATCAAACACTAAGTGTTATTTCTCCTATCAAACTGTATATTTGTCCCCATTAATCAAGCTCTCTTCAGCGCCTCCCTCCTCTACCCTTCCCAGCCTCTGGTAACCACAAATCTATTCTCTATTTTCATAAGATCCACTTTAATTCCCAGGAGTGAAAACATAAAATATTTGTCTGTGCTTGGCTTATTTCACTTAACATAATGACCTCCAGTTCCTCGATGTTGCTGAAAGTGACAGGACTTTATTATTTTTTGGGGCTGAGTAATATTCCATTGTATATACATATACCTTTTCTTTATTCATCCATTGATGGGCACTTAGGTTGATTCCATATTTCTGCTATTTTGTGAATAGTACTGCAATAAATATGGGTGTGCATCTCTTCAGTATACTGATTCCCTTTCTTTTGGATTTATGCCTACCAGAGTAATTGCTGGATCATATACTAGCTCTATTTTAGTATTTTGAGAAACCTCCATACAGTGTTCCGTAAAAGCTGTACTAATTTTCATTCCCACTGACAGTATATGAGGGTTCCCTTTTCTCGACATCCTTGCCAGCATTCACTAGTACCTGTCTTTTTGAAAAAGGTCATTTTAATTAAGGCATGATAATATCTCTTTGCGCTTTTTATTTGTATTTCTCTGATGATGAGTGATGTTCAGCATTTTTTGCTGTATCTCCCAGCCATTTGCATGTCTTCATTTCAGAATGTCTACTCATATCTTTTGCCCGTCTTTTTGTTTTTTTTTTTGAGACAGAGTCTTGCTCTTTAGCCAGGCTGGAGTGCAGTGGCACAATCTTGGCTCACTGCAATCTCCGTCTCCTGGATTCAAGGGATTCCCTTGCCTCAGCCTTCTGAGTAGCTGGAACTACAGGTGTGCACCACCACACCCAGTTGATCTTTTTGTATTTTAGTAGAGACGGTGTTTCACCATGGCCAGGATGGTCTCGATATCCTGACCTCATGATCTGCCCAATCCTTCCCAAGAACTGGGATTACAGTTCTTGGCCATTTTTTAATCAGTTTTTTTTTTTTTCTGCTATTGAGTTCCTTATACATTCTTGATATTCTGGTTATTAATCTCTTGCCAAATAGATAGATTGCAAATATTTTCTCCCATTCTGTGGGTTGTCTCTTCACTTTGTTGATTGTTTCTTTCACTGTACAGAAGCTTTTCAGCTTGATGTAATCCCATTTACCTATTTCTTCCTTTGGTTGCTGGTGCTTTGAAGTCTTAAAAAATCTGTTGCACAGAGCAACATCCTGGAGTATTTCTTCAATGTTTTCTTCTAGTAGTTTCATGTCTCAGATTTAAGTATTTAATCCATTTTGAGTTTATTTTTCATAGCATTATTTATTTAAGAGACCGTCCTTTCCTCATTTTACGTTTTTGGAGCCTTTGTCAAAAGTAAGTTGTCTGTAAATATGTGGATTTATATCTGGATTCTCTAATCTGGGATTGGTCTATGTGTTTTTATGCTAGTACCATGCTGATTTTGGTTATTACAGCTTTGTAATGTATTTTTAAGTCAGGTAGTGTAATGCCTCCAGCTTTGTTCTTTTCCTCAGGATTACTTTGGCAATTTTTGGGGTATTCTTTGGTTCCACAGATTTTTTCTATTTATGTGAAGAATGTCATTGGTATTTTGATAGGGATTACATTGAATATGCAAACTGTTTGGGTAGTACTGACTCAATTTTTAAATTTAGCATAACTTTAATATCTGGGTGAGGCTAATCCCTTTACTCAGGGATTACTCGGTTTTTAATTCTTTATCTGAGCATTTCTAAGAAATGACAAAATACTGAATATAGGTCCTCAAACAATATTAAAAAGCTAAGTTAATTTTGTAAAAACCATTACATTTCTTAGAGTTAAAATTTACATTCTTTTTTTATGCACATTGATGTGTATATGGACATTTACACAAGAAACAAACGTGCACTTTTGACATTTTTCTTCTCATTAATTACATGTAAAATGTCCCTCAGACTTTTGTGTACCAGAGTATATTAGTATTTTACAAATATTAAGCATCTACATATAAACATAGATAGTATGTTTGGCACTCATACTCAATTCAGTAATTTTCTAAGGGTCTATTTCTTTTCTTTTCTTTGAGACAGGTCTCACTCTGTCACCCAGGAAGGACTGCAATGCTGAGATCATGGTGCACTGCAGCCTTGATCTTCTGGGCTCAAGCAATCCTCCCACCTCTGCCTCCTGAGTAGCTGGGACTACAAATGGAGTACAAGTGATCTACCACACCTGGCTAATTTTTTTTTTTTTTTGTAGAGACAGGATCCCACTACGTTGCCCAGACTGGTCTTGAGCTACTGGGCTCAACTGATTCTTCTGCCTCAGCCTCCTACGGTGCTGGGATTATAAATGACACCACACCTGGCTGTGTCTATTTCCAATGTGTCGAATTTGCTTCCCAGTTTCTCCTTGAGTTCATGTGTGAAAACGCTCAACCTAATATTTCATTATCTAGTTTTGGAAAACCAGAGTTAGCTGTTTTGATGGATGACAAAGTTAAAAGTTTATAAATTAATAAGTTTATTAATGAATAAAGTTTCAATTTTATGCATAATAAACAAAAAACACATATAGAAACTAGTGACTAAAAGCAAATTTAAAAAATTTGCCATTAATTAAGAGGACAAAAATAAAGATGTTTTGGCTGGGCGTGGTGGCGGTCAAGATGGGCGGATTATGAGGTCAGGAGTTTGAGACCAGTCAAGCCAACATAGTGAAACCCTGTCTCTACTAAAAATGCAAAAAATAAGCCGGTGTGGTGGTGTGCGCCTGTAAGTCCAGCTACTTGGGAGGCTGAGGCAGGAGAATTGGGAAGCGGAGGTTGCACTGAGCCAAGATCACACCATTGCACTCCAGCCTGGAGCCCCGGAGACAGTGCAAGACTCTGTCTCAAAAGAAAAAATAAAAGATGATTTCTATTATCCTTTGCACTTTTCTGCTTTTAAAAAATTTCTTTAAAACATACAAATAAATTTAGACTAATAAAAAATCAATAATTAACTGAAATATAGCTCAAGGCAATATAACCTTAAGACATCATAATATCAACATTATGATATTAAGAACTAGTAATCAATTAAGAACTAGTAATCTAATCTCAAATTTTTGCATCTAAGATTTTCCTCTACTGTACTATACTAAATTTTTACTATAAATTATTACAGTACAGGAAATTTTTCATAATAGTAATTCCTCAGAATCCATGAGGGATTGGTTCTAGTGCGTTCTGTGGATACCAAAATCTGCAATCTGCAAATGCTCAAATTCCCTGGTATAAAATGCATAGTATTTACATATAGCCCTATGCACTATACAGTACTTTAAATCATCTCTAGATTACTTACAATGCCTATACAATGTAAATGCTATGTAAACAGTTGCTATACTGTATTATTTATGAAGTAATGATAAGAAAATATGTCTGTACATGTTTAGTACAGACTCAATTTTTTCCCAAATATTTCCACTCCGTATTTGGTTGAATCCATGATGCAGAACCCACGTATGTGAAAGGCTGACTGTATCTACTTTACCAACTAAAATGTAATTGTCCCTTGGCTTAGTGCTAATGTAAGAAGGAGAAATTTTTTAAAAAGTAGTTCTTCTTAATTTCATGCCTAAATATACTTATATAATAACTGAATCCAAAAAGCCAAAATGGCACTACTCCTTTCACCTCCTAAAATAACAAATTCCCAAATGATAACTGTATCATGTTTTAATGATTTAAGTCATATCTTTAAAAAGGCTTATTGACAAATAAGAATATATTATAGTATTTCATTTGTGTTTAATAATTATATCTAAAAAAACAAAAACAAAAACAAATTTGCTTAGAATTAAAGCACTCAGACATTCCCAGTAAAGTTACAAACAACTTTCTTACCTTGCTGCATCTGTGGATGTGTTGTGTAACTTGAAGGGTGGGAATATGGCATGTATCCTGCAGGGCTTTGTGGGGCATATGGACTAGGCACTGGGCTATTTTGTTGTGGCATAAATCTGTTCCCAGAGCTTGTCTGTGGTGGCACAAACCGGCTAAAACCCAAAACCCAAATAAAAAATATAAGAAAATAAAATAAACATGCTATTCTTTGAAATTTGACTGTCACAAAGTACTCTAAACTCTAGCTTATATATGTAAAATCTATGCAAACAAATATCTTGCCAAATAGTCAAATAACATAAAAATTATTTACAGTTAATAGAAGAGTTACAATAAATGGTTTTTAAAAGCAGGTAATTCATTTACTCTGCAATTTGTTTACTCTGCTTATGTAAGTGTACCAAAGCTTTAAGGTACTTAAAGCTATGTTCCCTAAATTTTCTTATCTCAAACACATCAGTTATTTTAACGTTCTTTTGTATAAAATTACATTACTACGATGGTAGCTATTTCAATGAGCATATTAAACTATTTCCATACACAACATTTTAAGGCAAATGCACAAGTGGATTACTATTTAAGATTAAGCATTTCAACTATTTAAACTCTACATAATTCACCACTACCTAAATGTATGAACCATATATTCACCAGCATATTCACCACAGAAGACAATACTTAATAAATGATATATACATATATTACCTGGAGGGGCTATGTGAGATAGTGGTTTGTTGATAATTGGAAGATGCAGGACTACTGTGCATGGAATTCTGAGAAAGTTTATACTGAGACATCATCATTCCTATGCAACACACAAAAATATGAAATGTTATTTTCTTCTAACAGTAAAGTGTCCTTTAAATAACTGAAATAAGTTATTCTTTCACAAACATTCCAGAGATTTTTCTGACCAATGTTTTCATTTCAAAGAGCAAAATATAGACACTGTAAAACTGCAAATTTCAAGAACAATGTTATTACAGCACCATTTTCCATATAACTAATCCAAGACTAGAAATAGAGATAATTTAAAACAAAATGTATTTGCTTACTCAGTATTCTATTATTTAGCCTTATAAATGAAAAGCTTTTTCTAGAAGTTGTCTTATCTAACTTTGTCCCTAACACAACACACTTCCTTCTCCAACAGGACTCAGGGTAGTTTTTATTACATGAATATTTATCATATACATCTATCATGCTTGGGAACTTAATTTCACAAAGCTATCTGTATTATCGTGGTTCAGACATAGGTTTTAAAAAGTACTTTATTTATGGGTTGAAAGTTTGAATTCCTGCGATTTCCATCTGAATGTCTTTTGAAGCAAAACAGAATGTACCTATTCCTTCTTTCTCAATAACTGCTTGTTACATAGTAGGAATTAATCGAATATTTGATTACAAAATAAAAACTTGACAATAGTATTCTGGTTCTTACATTTATTTTCAAACTAGACAGTATTTCTCAATTACACAAATGGCATTTCATTATATAGGAGACAGAAAAATTAACTTATTTAGACTTTTCAAAATCAGATAAAAATCTATGGTTAACACCCTGAATTTTCTTACGATTTCTATAGCCAATCTCTTTTTTGGCAGCTGCAGGAATCATATTACATTTCTGTATTTCATTTCCTGCTGTTGTTACAAAAAGTGCCTTTCATCAGAAATACTGAAACAAAAGCTCATTTGCTATGAGTACTACAAAGGGACTGTAGCTCTAGAGTCAGTAACTGAATGACATTAGGTTTCAAAATCAACTCTAAGTCTACCATTGATAGGATGTTTTCTTAAGCATGTAGTCTAAATTTCAAATTCTGAGTTTTCTTTGCCAACTCAAACTCAGCACAAAATTGTTTTGCCCCATAGCTTAATAACTTAATTACTATGATTATTGTTGCTGGAGGTTTTTTTTCTTTTTAAGGGAGATGAACAATGAGACAGGAGTTAAAATGCCTCCCCCCTGCCCCAAATTAACAGTCATCACTGGGACCAACTGGAATTACTGGTTTGAAAGCAATGGCTTTCTAAACAAAAGGGGTAAATGAAATTCTAACAGTCCTTTCAATGAGCTCTAAGTTCCAAAGAACTATGATTAAAGTGACTTGCATTTTATTAAATTTTCTCTACAAACATAACTCATATTTAAACTTAATAACCCCTAAATCGACTTTTTAAATTTCTATTTCATTTTTAATTTTTCAATGAGACAGAGTCTTTCTGTGTTGCCCAGGCTGGTCTTGAACTCCTGGGTTCAAGCAATCCTCCTACCTCCACCTCCCAAGTGCTGGGATTACAGGTGTGAGCCACCAGGCCCAGCCAACTTTTAAAATTCCAAAGCCATATATCACTAGGAAAATGCTTTAAAAAATAACAATATGCAATTAATTGGTTATTTTTAAATGCTAGTTTATGCTTTTACAAAGTGGGTTATATAGAAATCAAACAATATTTTGGACTGAAAATGAGTATGTATAGTATAAAACAAAAAAAATATGTGACGGAGAGGCAAACACTCTAAAAGTTTTTAAGAGTGATTTACTACCCAAAAAGTAAGTCACAAAATGTAGTATTAGTAGCCTTAGAAAATTTCATTTATCCAATATTAGATTTACTCATTCTCATACAATACTCTTACTCTATTAGTCTTTCTTTCAGTTAACTCTCTTTCTATATTTTCTTTCAATTCCAACATTTTCCCAGAAAGCATTCTTAACTCTAGCTTCCTTTCATTATTTGTTTATCTGTCTCCTATTATTGCAGTTGTGAAGATACAGCCCTGTCCTGCATACCTACCTTCAACTTGTTAAAAGGCAAGTCAGTCAGAAGCATCCCCTTATGTATTTTGAGGAATCGACAATAATGATGCAATTGCTTTCAAAACACCAAACAACACAAATACACAGAATCAGCAAAGCAATATTATTTAAAGGAAATGGAATGGGAAGCATCATGGAAATGCTGCCAGCAAAGTAAACCAACATGAATTTGGCAAAATTATTTTATTTCTTTTTTCTTTTTTTTTGGAAACAGGGTCTCACTCTATTGCCCAGGAAGGAGTGCAGTGGTGCAATCTCAGCTCACTGTAGCCTTGACCTCCTGAGCTTAAGCGATCCTCCCACTTCAGCCTCCCAAGTAGCTGGAACTACAGGTGCATGCCATGACGCCTGGCTAATTTTTTGTAGCGACAGGGTTTCACCATGTTGCCCAGGTTGGTCTTGAACTGCTGGCCTGAAGTAATCCTCAGCCTCCCAAAGTGCTGGGATTGAGGCATGAGTCACCATGCCTGGCTAGTACAATTTTTAAATACAGTTATTCAGTTAATAAGGTTGAACCTTCCTAATTGTCTAAACCGTTCCCTCACTGACTGTTTTAATCTTGAGAGCCAAACAGGCACTTGGACTTGTCAAATTCGGTAAGCTTGAACAGAACAATGCTCTTAACCCACAGGTACTTCGTGACTACATAAAAATTAACTGTGTTGAATGTAATATTTTTATTATTTTATAATACTATAACTCAATTTTTTTTCAATAATAATACACCAATTTTTCTGTTGCTAAGGCAACAGGAGTATTAAATCAATTATTAGAAAACCATGAATATAATCACTATCAGTATTAAAACTATATAAGTGCTACAACGTGCATGTTCAAAAGCTTTGCAAATATTTGATTCATGACATTTCAAATTCTGATTTTCTAAAACAAAAAAAATATTTTTAAGCTAAGTAAATATATTCCAAAATATTTAACAAAATGCACTTAAAGCTTTGTCTAATTCCAAAGGAATTTAGTTACATACTAAACTACAAGAATCTTATCAATTTAGTTTCCTTCTTGTACTTGGCTTGACTGAAGGCATTAACCTGGCATTCATGATGACAGGTCAGCTTGTTAAAGAAGACACCTGGATTTAAATTTGTATAAAACAAGTTCTGATATGGGAATTCAGTTATTAAGAAACTCACCACTTTGTACATATCTGTTCTGCATGCTTTTCTCCCTGAAAACGTTAGGACTCCTTGCCAGGACGGCCTGCAACAAGACTGGTATGTCGCCTTCTGGATCATCACTGCCAAGGTTATCTTTCAACTCTCTGACATTGAGAAAATACATACCACAAATTAAAATGGTGACTGATTCATTAAGAAGACTTATCATATAAAAGTAAATCACACCGGTATGGCCAACAGTATGAATTTTCAAAGATGCTATCCTTGGGAGAAATATAATTATCAAAATATATAACAGAGAGAAATTCTTCTAATACAAATCTTTATTTTTTCTATTTTACTTCACAGTTGGGGAAAAGAAGCCCCAAAACACTACATTACTGAACTATGAGTTTATTTAACAATTCTCAAGTCATTTTAAAATAGAAAAAAAAAATACAGTCCATTCTAAACTACTCAAAATAATGGAAGCATAGAGAAGTGATAGTTATACAAAAAGTTGATATTTGGTATTGGAATGTATTTTCTTACATCTGAATATGAGTGAGTCTAACTTTCTGGGAATGTCTTACAAACAAGATAGTGTTGCCACATTGATTAGGACAAGACCCAGAGGTTATGTAATTTTTCCATCTTATACTGATTTCTCAAATAATGTCATGGGAGAAGGGGGGGAACCGAACAGCAAACTTCAGTATACTTCACAGCAGCAATTTTCTATAAACTTCAATGTAAGTAGCAAATTAAATTCACAGTCATGGGAGGTAATGATAAAATTAAGTATAGGCAGTGTTTTAAATTTTATATTCTACATGTCAATTTTCTACTCATTGGATCTAGCCATGAAGATCTATAAAGATGGTGTCCACTGATAAGACTAGGGCAATCTTAAGGGAACTCTCCATAAAATAAGTCCTTATTTTACGTGTGCTATTTCTCTTATATCTTTAAATATCTAATGAAAACTACTGAATAAGTGTGCACAAGCATAAGAATTGATTTAGAGGCTGGGCATGGTGGCTCACGCCTGTAATTCTAGCACTTGGGAGGTCAAAGCATGTGGATCAACTGAGGTCAGGAGTTTGAGACCAGCATGGCCAATATGGTGAAACCCTGTCTCTACTAAAAATACAAAAATTAGCCAGGCGTGGTGGTGGGTGCCTGTAATCCCAGCTACTTGGGAGGCTGAGGCAGAAGAATCACTTGAACCCAGGAGGTGGAGGTTGTGGGATCGTGCCACTGTACCCCAACCTGGGTGACAGAGCTAGACTCCATCTCAAAAAAAAAAAAAAGAAGTGATTTAGATATTGCTGAATTTTGAGACTGACAAAATACGCGTACTATTATACTTCTTTCTGATTTTTAACCAATCATTTCTCAACTCCTCCATTAGAAAATCCATTTAATAAGTATGTCACCTTAGAGTCATGAGCTTTAAAAATGCCCCCAAAATATATTCTGCGTCTAATGCAGATACCTCTCCATTATAATGTGTTTATCCTCATTCCCCTACATGATGAATCTTTAAATTAAAAAAAAAATAATAAAGAATGCAAGGTTACATGAGTAACACTGTATGGTGGGATGTGAAGGGATAAGAGTGAGAGATTTTACCTTTTACCCATTTTTGTGCTGTTGTTATAAATATGTATTAGTTTTGGAGTGAAAAATAAATTTTAAAAGTATACCTGTGTGAAAAATTGTAAATATGCTGTATAATTTAAGTCAATTTCATTTTTAAAAGTTTACTGTGTGAAAATATATGCCTATAATCAGATCTCTACCCTTCCATTATTTTGATTAGTTTAGAATGGACTGTATTTCTTCTGTTTTAAAATGACTTAGAAATTATTAAATAAACTCATAGCTCAATAAGTGTGTTTGGGCTATTTTTCCCTATCTAGGAAAACTTAGTTCCAAACTGTATAGCAGCCTCTCATGGAAGTAGCCCTTGAATTCTTGTTATACTTCTCATGAAAAGCATATAAGCCGACTCCAAATAAAGCTAATAGCACAGTCCATTATACACTGGGAATTTTAACCACTTTGGCAATATCAGGAAAAAGGGATATGGTTTCATAAACAACTTTAGATCTCTGCACAGATGATGGCTCCCCCATGATCATTTCAAAAGAGTTGAAAAGATATCCATAGAGCTACATGGATCAGAATTATTATCTTAAAATAACTATTGCCTATTTAAGTCTCTTTAATCTCTTATTGCAATAAGACTATATTCTCTCTTGGATACTTACATATTTTAAAAATAAACTATGTATCTAAAATTTTTAGAAATAAAACCAGGAATACAGATTATCTCAGTAAGGCCAAAACTTTTCACTTATATTAGACACAAAATTGATCATACTTACATGTGATCTGTTGATACCTGGTTGAGGCTATGGACAAGCTGTGAAACCAAATTGTCATCCCTACAAGCCAAAAGGCAGTTCACCTCTTCCGCTATTCGTGCATTAAACAGAAGGCTCTTTGTAGTTGTAGCAGGTAAAGGAGATGGAAGAGGCAGCTGGTTCAGGACTATTTGGAATAAAATCAGATTATTAGAAATTGAGTGACTGTAAGAAGTCTCTTTGGTGCTTATCTGTATTTTGAGATTAAAAATAAATTATAAATATCAATGTGACAAATTATTAAAAGGCATTTCTCCTCTTCCTAACAAACCTCAATCAACCCTACAAAACTCCCCAAACAACACCTGGACCATAATAGATTATACTAGTCTCTAGGAATAAAATTCAGCTCCCTTGTATTCATCCTTAAATTTTTATTAACAAATGACTAGCCACAAGGGTGTGGTTACAAACTAACTTCCAACATAGCAATTCATTTGTTCTTGTTTATAAGATTTATCAGAATCACTAGTAAGCTCATACAAATGAACCAAATAACAATATCTGACTCTTCATAAAGTAGATAAGTAACATTTTTTAAAAGCTTAAGTATATACAAATAAATAGCTCACTCTAGCAAGAAAGCATTCATAGCATAGAATTCTGTAATATAAAAACATTCTTCTAAATTACAAATTCCTAAATAGTTATCTCTTCTTTATTCTCTTCTAATAGCAAAACAAAAGAACATAAATGTTTTCTGGTAGCTTAAATTCGGCTGTTTAATCTCTGTTCACCTAATAGAAATTTGTTCATTTGTCTAAAGGTTAAGAAAGCTAACTAAAATATCAGGTGTCTTTGTTATGGGCTTAATTTCTAATCACCTATACAGTATAATTATCATGCTTCTCAGCCCCAATAGGTACTAACAGGATTTTCATTAATAAAAACAAAGAAAATAAAATTATTACTTAATAAACAGGGGTTATTGGAAAAACAAACTTTTAAAATATTAGATATAGCAAGTATCATAGGGAGAAAAACCAAAAAGAGATTCCTGGTAGCATATTTGATTTTGTACTTCTAAAGTATTTATGCCTTGCTTACCACAATGTGATAATAAAAACTAAAGATAGTTTCAAAAAGTTTTTTTACCTGAGTAATGTTAATCCAATCACCTCGAGCACTTTTTTAGACCTCATAAACTAGTTACGATGGTTTCCTAAGTTCAAAGCTATGGGCTGTTACCTATTTTACCCCCCTAAAACCAACTGGAAATTCACAAAACAAAACTAAACTAAAGCTAGGAAAATAGTATTTGGAGGATACTGAACATGAACACAAACATTTCTTGAAGATACTTTTTCCTAGCTCCCTTATTATGAAGTCCTTGATATGAAGGACCTTCATATGAAGATTATGAAATCTTGCACAATGCTATACAAAGAAAAGTATGCCATCCTCTCACTTTCTACTACTTCTTCCTCTCATATCTTTTTCCTTTTCTTTATTCAGTTAGGATGACACAATGACTAAAATTGTAGGTAGCTTTTTGCATCGTTACTCAAGGACTAAGAATTATAGTTAGAAATGCCTAACAAAAGAATAAATCTCTGAAAAATTGAGTTATATTAAATAAATCTCAAAAGACTGGCAATGTTCTTTAAAATTCTTAAGTACTCAGAGTAAAATAGGCTGCTGATACCTCAAACTCCAACAGATTAATGAACATGACCACCAAAATAAACATCACTAAGAAGTTAGATAATAAAGAAGTTAGAAGGCTGTCAATTTTGTTTTCTTTAAAGGGCAGTTTGAGTAACTATTTTTATAAATACGTTTTAAAGAACCTATAATAATTTTTGAAACATTCTCTGTAAAAATTATTGTTAACACATAGCAGAACTTAAATTAGATAAATTAACCAAACTTACGGTCTGTGAGACTAGCAATCCCCGCAAGAGTAGTAATGGGGACATGGGGCATATCCCCATTCATCCTGAATTTCTGGAATGGTGTTGCCTATAAAAGTACTTAGTTCAGGTGCCAGCTGTCATTACTTCCCATTTCCCAAACACTGCAATACACAAAACAGACAATTATTTGTAGAAATATGTAAGATACATTACTACCAGGAAAATGCTAAATCACTATAAGAAAAGTTTCTGCTTTTGTTCGTTCAACCTATATAATAGTCATTTTTTAATACACCACTTACTATATGTTGAGCAACTGCAAAATGCTTTACACACATTAACTCACTTAGTTCTCACAACAACCTAGTAAGGTAGCTACTATTGTTTTCTGCATTTTACTAAGAGGAAATCAATTTACAGTGAGTTTAAAGTAATTAGTGAAGCAAGAATTTGAACCCAAGCAATCTGGTTCCAGTTTGCTTCTTAACTGTAGGCTGGATTGCTAGATAGAAATACTTGATCAACCTCAACAAGCACTGTAATTCATTTCCACATTGTAAGCAATTAAACATTTAACTTCATAGTCTAGCTTCAACTTGCCTTTCTAGCTGTGTCTTTTATCACTATCCTACATAAACTATCCTCTCCAACCAACCTGATCTAATCACATTCTCCCAAATCTCCCCTGTGTATTCTCATCTTAATACATTTCCTGAAGACTATTACTACTTTGGTCCAAATTCTATACTTCTTCAAGATCCAAAGCATGTTCCCGCTATTTCATGAAACCTCTAATTCACCCAAGTAAGTATCTTACCTTAATCTACTCTGAACTTATGACATTTATTGCCCAATATTATTTTGTAAGTAATTATATATTCCTTTGTGATATCTTTTGAAATTTGTCTTGTTTCATTCTTGCATGATTACTTAATGTTCATATACTTAGCTTGTCCTTTCAACCACCACTACATGTTTCTTATAAGTCACATAATCAATACGCAACCACATAAAGGACAGAGAAAGGCATGTGTTAACATTTTTAACGTTCCCCATAAAAATGACCTAATTGACTTAAATGTTTAGTATTTATCATGATGGAATTCTGTCTACACACGAGACACATAATGATAACTTGGGTATTCTGTTCAAAGCCCCCACATTTTTCTCTTCTTATTTTCAACATATGGCTTGTGGAACATTTATCTTTCCTTTAACAGTACTTGTATAAGTCCTTTTTGGTAAATAGATAATATTTTAACAAGTACACATTAATTAAAGATACACTTTCATTACATTACTTTTACTTTATAAATTCATCAGCAAATGGAAGTCTACATCAATTAAGTCACAGAGCTAAGACTGAAAACTGAATTGTAGTTTCCAGTTTAAAAAGCTTAAGTGTTTATCTTTTTAAGATAAACACTTTTGTATTTGCTAGTCAGTAACTTGTAAGAGAACCTCTTTAAACTTTTGAGTTGTAAATGTCAAACATTTAAATGATATAATACTAATAATTTCCCTTACTCATATGTCTGAATGCAACTTTGTAAATAAGTATTTTTCTAATGTAGAAGTACACAGGTAGGTAAAATTAAGAATTTCCTTTGCCCCCAAACATTATTTTTATAAATATAAGACCTACTGAACAAAGGCAAAAATACATTAAACAGGTGAGTACACACACACAAACACACACACACACACACACACAGTTTAACAGAGTTATAAAGTAGGCATTCATAGAACCACCATCCAAAATTCCAGTTCCATCTAGAGGATTAACCATCTTTTCTTTGTGGTGATCATTTCCTCTTTTTCCTTCATAGTCTAAAGACCTTTACATGTACACTCTTTACTAATTGCCAGCTAAAGGAAAAAACATTACTTTCCTTTGGTAAATGACGGACAAAATTTACTAGAAGAAGCCCACTGAAAGGAAAAGGCACAGGAAATAACATAGGAAAGCTATAATCACTACTGGCTATCCTATATCTATCAATTTGCTGCACTGTGGACTCTACAATTTGATTCTTTAACTATTACTAAAGAAATTTAATGCAACACTGCAGTTCGAAGTCACATCAAGCACTTTAAAAAGTCATTTGGAGCCCAGGCACGGTGGCTCACATCTGTAATCCCAGCACGTTGGGAGGCCAAGGCGGGTGGATCACAAAGTCAGGAGCTTGAGACCAGCCTGACCAACATGGTGAAACCCCGTATCTACCAAAAATACAAAAATTAGCCGGGTGTGGTGATGTGTGCCTGCAAGATACTTGGGAGGCTGAGGCAGGAGAATCGCTTGAACTCAGGAGTCAGAGGTTGCTGTGAGCCGAGAGGGCTCCAGCCTGGGCCACAGAACGAGATTCTGGCCCCCCAAAAAAAAATTGTTGGGGGGAGGGGAAGAACCAAAAAAAAAAAAAAGTCAATTGGAATTTAAAGGCTCCTGATAAAGGTCACCAAAACACAATGAATTTTTTATAAGTTTATGCTAATAAAGTTCCAACTTACGTGTAGTAATTAATGGAAAGAAATCAATGAATGAAAATTACTTACAGATCACAAAAATTTGGTTATTCACATACAACGCACTGTTGTACACTGCCATATGCAAGCAGATTAAGTAACAAGTGACTGTATTTAATTATTTAACTCAGAGGATAGAAACCTAAAAAGGGTAATATACTGGGGTTCTACTGTGGGCTACCTGTTTTCCTAAGTCCCAGGTAACAAATACAGCAGATCCAACCCCAGGTTAGAATTTTTAGCCTAAAAATGACTATGTATTTAGTCACCCATATATGAACTAGAAGATTAATAAATCTAAATAAATCTAACCATAAGATTGTGCTTTTCATAGTGATATAAAAATGCAATGAATACTGATGTCAACTAAAAACTGGGAGTAAAGGGGAAGGACCAGGGAGCAACAATACTTACTTGGCTTAAAGTGCTTTAATTATATGTTTATAAATGATTACTGACAGAAGTATTTGATCTTCACTGCTGAACTATGGCTAATTCCACTGGAATCCAAGATTTTGAAAAACAGCAGAGGAATTTGGTAGAAATGCAGTTACAATCTTAGCTAAAGTCACAGATTTTAATAAATATAAGTAATCCGGTGGAAATGTTACTTTCTGTCGGAAGGTGACTAAATTCCATCAAGAAATAGCATTCCTAGAATTCTAAAAATGAACAAATATACACCTAACTAGACATGACTTTCCTGGCTCTGGATTAAATAATGTTTTGGACTGCTTGGCTCTGTGAAACTATACTGTATTTTGTAACACTGAAGCTGACATGTGTCCAGAATGAAATGGCAACCAAACTGTAAAGAAGAATTTAATGAGGGCTTTAGAACTGCCACTTAAGGCAGTGTTTTACAATCTGTGACTGGTGACAGGTTAGTAGAGTATAAAATAAATTTAGTGGGTTGAATACTGAAAGGGATAGAGGGAATAGAAATACAAGGGTACCCTGTACAGTGCTTTGTGAGCTCAGGTAAAATGTCTTTAAAATTGTGGGTTACCAGGCAAAGCCATATGAGAGTTGCTGATTTGAAAAAATGTAAGAGTAAGGAAAGTAGCTCACCATGTAAGTGGTGATGGGAATAAAATAATGTATATATATCACCTGACATACCACCTGTCACATAGTAAGTGATCCAGAAAGTTAATAGCATTACTAAACAGATTTGGGAGAATAAAGGAAGAACAGGAGTCTTTTCAAAACAAATAGAGGGAAAAGGCATCTTTTCAATACAAATAATTCCTACTTCTGAAATATCTATTATAAATAATTATTTGGCATTCTGGTATATATTTCATCATAGTACTACAAGTCATAGCCTTGGGCTTGCTCACCTACAATTACTTAAATGATAAGGTAGGAGAAATAAATACCAGCAATAGAAAGCAGAAAAAAATTTAACTGTTGTAATACTAATAACTAAATAAAACAAAATATACTGAGTGAGAAATCATTTATAACTAAATTTAAGAATAGCTTGAGGTTTAATCAAAAGAATGCTTAATTAGGGGAAGATATTATAGTAAATTTTCAATTTAGCCCAGTTTAATGAGTTTGAAGGGAACTTTTAATCATTTGCCAAGATTTTTAAAGACTCCATTTAATTTCACTACAAAATTTACAACTTCCTCAAGCAAACAAAAGAAATGCAAATACAACAGTATCAATGGGAATTATAATAATATTAAAATTTGGATGGATTTGGAATAAAAGGCATCCTTATTATCTGACGGTAGATAAACTTTCTGGAGGGCCACTTTGCACCCTATAACCAAAGACTTAAAAAGTATGCATAATTTTTTCTCAACAGTTTCACTTCTAGAAATATACCCTAAAGAAATAATTACATACATGCTGAAAAACATACACATGTAGATATTCCCACAACATTTTTACTACATTTTAGTGACTGAAAAATAGAAATGGTAACTCATGTATACTCACCACCTACTATGTAATAAAAATGGTTATAAACACCTTAATCTGCTTTCATTTAATCCTCATATGGACCTCAGATGCTAACATCCCAGTTTTATTTGATGAAGAATGTGATGTACAGAGAAGAGAAATAATTTGCCTAAGGTCATACAGCTGGAGTCAAACCCAGACTAGCTGGCACATGGACATTAAAAATGACAACTAAAATGTATAACATTATTAGTATAACAAATGATGGTACATCCATGAGATTATGATGCACATATAATCAATATAGTAAAAATATATAGCCAAGGAAGAAAGAGATTAATTAGACTGTGTGTTTGAATCCAAACTCCCCTGCTTACTACATAACCTTGGACTACTTACTGAATCTCTGTACCTGTTTCCTCATCTCTGATATGAGGTAGGTAATTATTATTATTTTAAATTTTGTTGTGAGGATGAAATAGTATGTGTAAAGTTCTTAGAATTGTGCTGGGTGTGTAGTAAGTATTCATTAAATGCAAGCCATTATTTATTATATACTCTTCCGCATCTTGCTTTTGCCATGTATATTATCTCAGAAATCTTTCGTTTATGCAGATCTGTCTCATTCTTTTTTCTAATATTATTTTACATGCTGACTGAAGCAACTAGTTTAAGAGACTGTTAGTCAGTATACTATACCATGTGACACTAAAAAGGC